ACAATCGAACAATGTACTTGACTCGAGCTTACCTTCTCGTAAAAAAGGTCAACTATACCAGTGTATAAATATTTTAAGAAGGTTTCTTAAATTATATGAAACAGTAGAGAAATTATTTCTGAATGATGGCACTGTTGAGAACACGGTGACATGCAACATGAAATAATTTTAAATCATTACTTGTCTGTGTTATAAACGCGGAAAATTCTGCATACATTGACGGACAGCGAATCATTATGATAGTTCTGTGAATGTATAAAGATTGTTACATCAAAGATGTATCAAAGATTGTTGAAAAATTATATTTTTAATAATGAGTAAATAGGTTATTGGCTCATTTAACTTATCTGCAATTTTTTTTCACATTTTAATCTGCGTCTTTTAATATCTTGCGCTAAGTAATTTTAAATGCCGATGTAAAAGCTGAATATCTTTGAAACGATTAATTTAAAGACTTATTAAGACTTTATTGTCCGCTTATTTCTTTTTTCTTTTTTTTTCATTTTATTAGTCAGTTAAGCCTTTAAGTATTAGCCTTTATCTACAATTTTGAGACACTCGTAACATCAAAAGATAATAAAAGTTTTCATTCCCGAAACACTCTCTGGAAACCGACGTGAGTGGTTGATGGGGGGTTGGTTTATGACTTGGAAGAGGGTTGGCTGCCTGAATAACGCACAACCGATGAAAAGCCGCTTTCTGTACGTGTCTCGTTATAAATGGCCGGCATTCTTATGCGCTCGGGGGTTATAAAACGAGGTCATTGTTACAGCACCGCGTGACGACGCGCCGCACCGAATAGATGGGCGGATAGATCGAGCGGGTGGGTGATAAGTTCGTAGGTAGTGGTGTGTGAATCCTGAAATCCTGAAGCATTTCCAAGTCATATTGCGATGTTCCAGTTATTTTTTATTCAAATCATGCGATTATTAATCAGCAGTCGCGAGCGGTGACTGTGTAAGCTGTTCGCTATTAAAATAATGGCACAATTTTATGCATTCAACAGCAACGTGTTATTTTTATTTTCACGATTCTGGTAATTTTGTTACAAATGAAGAAGGAAGATTTCCTGATTGTTATTTCGCTTCAGACGCTGAATTAGTCGCAAATTTCTACAATGAATCTATCGTTAGATGAATGCTGATGATTCTGTGAGCATTCCTAGCCGCATTGAAACGTGTTGGAGTGGAATCCTGTTAACCGGAATAATCCGATAACTGAATGTATCCTTAAGTACTTAACCCGCAATCGCTATCGTGGCAGAGCTATGAGAAATTGATTCTTTACCATTGTCGTCTTCGACGACCGATCGAGAAACAATTAAATATAAATTTGGAATTTCTGCTAAAGCAAATTGAATAAAGCACAAATTTATGAGCGACAAATCTTATTTATTTTGTAAGTTGTTAAAAGAGACAGAGAGCATTACAAATGTGCTTTACTTATATGAAAAGAGTGAAGAGAAAATTGAACAATTAAATATTAATTGCGATGTAGAAAACCTGGTAAGAAATAAGACTGTCAAGTCCGAGATGTATTAATTGTAGAAGCACTTTGATGTCTGAGAAATTAGTTTATAAAAGTTTAATTTAGATATTTTCACAAAGCGTTCGTTGCTTATCAACTTTTCTCTTAAGACTTTAAACAATTCTAGAAATGAAGTTTTTGATATAAAATTACTTTGGCAAAAATAAAATAAATTCAATTAATGATAATTGACTTTTATTTTTGTTTTTTTTTTCAATAAATTGTATATAAATACATTTTATTATTGCAAAATTTTTGTCCAGTTTAACAGAAACCAAATATAGTCAAGTTAATATATACAATATAATATACTGATTATCTTCTGTCATTTCTGTTTATCAGCTTGAGAAAATTAGAAAAGAGAAAATACCGATAAGCCTCAGAAAGCCTTTTAGTTAATCCCCAACAAAAAGTCTCAGATTGCAAGAAGACAAGAATCTTTTTATCTACTCTTACTAAATATTTGAGTCATAATAAATATTTCTCAAGTAAATAACTTTAAAACTTAAATTAAAAAAGTATACGTATGCATTTTCGAATAATAGATATCTAGAATCTAATTGTTTTAAATTAGATATAAAAAATATACCGGAGAGAGAAGCAAAATTATTATTTTCACATCTTACTTCTGCAGAAACAAAATAATCCGACGTGGAAATTATAAATGTCTCTTGACAACTTTCAAGTGAAGAAGCAGATATGAATAAAGAAACAGATAAAAGATACGTTTAAAACAAGAATCGTCTCAGGACGGAAGTCTCGTTGCTTTTTGCCTTCTCAGGAATGGGCTCGTTTCGCTTCTCGGTTTCGCTGAGAGCACGAATCCGCCCACCTCCCATTGTTCCTATACGAGGACAGAGTTCATCGATCCTCTGACAAAAAGGAATGCGAGTGAGTGAGCGACAAGCGGAATGGTAGGTGTTCTTGCTTTTCACCAAAGAGAAAATGTTCCCGACCATTTGAGGTACTCATTCCTTTCTATATAATTCTTTCTCTTTCTCTCTCTCGCTGCGATCTCTGCTTACTATTTTCTTTTCTACTATTGCCGAGGTGCTCGTGTGCAAACATATTTTTGCCCATACGTATTTTCCGCTGTTCATTAATATTTTACAGAGCTTGCATGTGAGAGGTATATTTGTTAAGAATTTATTAATTATAATATTAGCTAAAGTCGTTAAAATATTTGAAAATAAGAAATTTTTTATTTTATATCGCGATACATTAAACAAATATATATATTTTATTACAAAAATCCTTTCTGCAATGTTGTTATATCACGCTTATTTCTTATAGCGCCAAATTTTGGAAAATTCGTAAAATGCAATTGTAAATTTTGTACATAAAATGTAGAGTTTTATAAGATTATACTGATAAATATAACTTTCGCGACTTTGTGAAACTATCAGATGCTCAAGAAAATTATAAATTTTAACTGTTCAGCGAAATTGTAAAGTTTCAGCGTTGATTGTGTATTTGTTTGTCATGTACATCTTATTTAAATCCAACTTGTTCTACTATCTAGTCTTTGAATGTTTGAAACGTATGTCAAGCTTTGTATGCTGTCTGCTTCTCATCTCTTCGTAATTTGCAGGGAAAATTTTCGACCATAGCGTAGACTAGCTTTTACTTTACAACGAACAAAGCTCGTAAAGCTATGTAATTCTCTTCCGATCGCCTTTAACAATATATACATTGCTTTCAGTTCTCTTCGTACTAAGACGAGTCGATATTTTCGTGCTTCGTGTTTCGCTTATGATCCGTGAAATTCATTTAATTTTACACGTAAAAGCAATCTTTCACTGGCGCGCTGCTATTTGGCAAATGGCTCTCGCATTATATTTACGCATTATAGCGCACGCGATAGTTATTTTTAATCATTTTTTCTGATTCATCTTTTTCTTTTAGAGTTACTCGTCGAGAATAATTGTCAACACTTGAGTAAAAATTTTTTTCAAACTTCCATACAGATAAGATTAAGATTCTTACAGACGCAGTTCCATTCGCGAATCAATCAATTTTATTAATATAATTATCGGAAATTCGAATTCTATCGAAACGATAAGCAGAGAGAACTCAGCGGGAGAGAGTGAGATTCTTTTCCAGAGCATTAGCCTCCGGAAAAAAGATCCGTTGCGAAGTGATTCGATTTCCTTTTGTTCGTCGATCATTAGCCTCTTCAACTCCAGCTACTTAAAGTCATCCCATCGTCTCGTTAAACTGCTTGTCCGGGTTATTACTAAAGGTGACGTTCTCGCGCTTGCATTGAGCGCGGTAATTCATTATACGCCACTATTCATGACGTTGTGAAGTGTTAAAACTCTGTATCAGGCACTGCAAATATTGGATTATGACACGAGCGAAGAAAAAAAGAATAATTTTTATCGAATTAATGAAACAGTGATTTATCTTTTACTTCGAGTTGTATCGAACTAAATGAGAGTTCTGTCGTATTATCAGATCGATTTATAGATTAGATTTTCCAGCACGGAAATTCATCACGTCATAATTCGAATAAAGGCTCTGAATCGGACATAGCAAATATTGGATCGTGACACATGCGATCTCATTAAAAATCACATTTATCGAACTGGTGAAACAGCGACTTATCTCTTATTTCATGTTGTGTCAAAGCAAATAGTTTTCTCTTATATCATCAAGTTGTTTTGAAAGATTAGATTTTCGAATACAGGAATTTATTACATCATTATTCGTGACGTTGTGAAATAATGAGACTTTGACTCAGATACTGCAAATATTGAATTATATCAGCGATATCAGATATCATTAACAAAAATTGCAATTATTGACTAATAAGACAGGGACTTATCGCCTTTTTTTATGATACGCTAAAGTAAATTGACTTTTTTTATCTAATTAAAAATTGAAAGAATTTATAATCAAGAGTCATAAAAAGAGTCAGATGTGGGAAGCGTACGGAATATACATTTTGAATGAATTATTTGTTGATTAAATAATTCCATTACCTTTTCGGTATAAAGAAGAGCACTCGAATATTATTCTCTCTCTTAACCGTCACCTGTAAATCTGGTTCTCGCGTGCAATCTGGTGGAAATATCATTCCGCTTCGTTTGTTTAACGTTTCGCGAGGTATAAATCATGTTACTGTTTCAACAATCAAAGAATGCTGTTTGGTTTTCATGAAATGTGGTAATTGAAAACTTTGAATGATAATTTGCGTCTTATGTTTACTATGGTTAATTCCATTGTGACGTCTATTTTTATTTACCTCCAATGTAATATTTGTTTGTGGATTTTTATTATATAAATAAATTAATTGAACATTGATATAAGTTTTTATTGTGTTTTTTAAAAATACATTTTAATTATTTATTATTTAAATACATTTAGATAACTCTTAATTATGTAGATATCTACTTTTTATTTAAAAAAAAATGTTACATTGGAGTTTCTTTTATGGACACTCGAATAATGTGAACAAATAACATGGATTATTTCAATGTCTTTATTGATACACTTTACAATGCTCGGGGGAGTGATTTCCTAACGATTCCTTTAACATCTTTCTCGAATTAACAGCCTTGGATAGGCGAGCGACGGGAAATGAGCCCGCATGTACATTTAAACATCTTGTAATTGTTTCACATTTAAACATCTCATAATATCGTTCTCGCGAAATTGGAAGAAACATTCCGCGAATTCAAATCGAACTTGTGAAAGAGGAAACTCAAATAGCATAGTGACGACATAATGACGTCCATGACGACATAATGACGACATAAAGGCGTCCTGTGCTACTTGGGGAGTCTTAATGATTAAAATAATCGAAAATACATATACGTAAAGTTTTTCTTGTGTGTCCGGAATAATTAACCGCATTTCGACAAGCTGTCTATTCGGATATATGTACAACGCATTCAGCTGCATATATGTATATATATATATATCAACACCTCAGAGATATACTATGTTAAGTAACATGAACATAACTTTTTGGAAGAAAGATCTAAAGAGATTTAACATTTTTTATATATACTTTCAGTAAAATACTTATAATGTTGTGCAGACTTTTTGTATTCGTAGATATAATATCAAATTTTGATATGTTTTAGAAAAGAAAGTTGTATGATTATGGAATATGATTTTAATGTGACTTAATTATGTTTACCTGGTGACTGTGTTATCACATTGTGACTTAACTTTACACAGTCAACATCTCATCATTTTCATTGAAAACATTTGCCATTGAAGTAAAAATTGAAGTATAAAGTCTTGTGATAACAATAACTCAATTTTTGAAAAAATGTGACTTAATATAGTACATCTCTCAGGTGCTCATATATATATTCAGCAATTAAATTTTTCTGCAGTATAGAAGCATTCTTTCCCGTTTACATAATTAATAATATCTAATTAATTTCTGCTTGAAAAGAATAAAAAGAGTCGGTGCATTATGTGTTATTAATTCTGGAGCAAGCGCGTACGTAAAAAGCAAAATTATATTTATTTTTATTACGTTAACTTTTATGTCAAGATTTATGACAAAAAAATAACTTAAAATGCAAAAATTAATGACCTCTGAAAGCTGATCACATGAACCAGAAATAGAGATAATAAATTTAAAAGAAAAAAGCCTGATTCACTATCTTTATTTCACCATTTTTTTATGGTTACATTTTTATAACTTCTCAATGTACATACAATCAATGCTTTATGCATTTTAAGGCAAAGAATATTGGAAGAATACAAAAGGAAATGACTTTTTACGCATATTTCCATAGAAATTGATTAAAACGCAAAGAGATCGATATTGCTATTCTCTGAATAATAAAAAAGTGAAAACGTTTAAATAACTCTGTAATGAAGTTATTTATATATTAATATTTCATGATTTAATATAGCAGCTTAGTTTTCACAATTAGATAACATATGTCCGCTGCGCGTTTGGCTCCAAAATTAAATATTCTCGTGAAAACGGATTCACCGGACATCATTATGCATCTGATTGTATTTTCTGAACAATTATTCTTAAACACCTGCTAACGGATATTTACTCCATCAATGAAGAAACAAAGAGAATATAAAAGTTTAATGTATACATTTGGCGGAGGATTAAAGAATTGAGAGAATATGCGTCTGACGCTTTCACTAAAAACTCGCCAACATCAAACATCGAATATCCTACGAACCGTAGACACACTTGCCGTTTTAAACAGGAGCGAGCTAAGATGTACCAACCCGCATCGACATCGATGAATTTATGTCTGCAACAATAAACAACATTTCAATATAAAACAAATATGTTTCGATTAATCGAATTTTCATCGACTTTTTCTTTCGTATTTCACATTTATTTTTCACTCAAATCTAGATTTTTCTTAAATATAGTTTCTCGTCACGCGTAAAACAGGTCAGAAGAGATCAAAAGTCTTCAAGATATTTTCTTTTCTTCATTTCGCTAAAGTTGTTAAAAACCAAACTTTTTTTACTGCCATCAGTTCCAAGCTCAACCACATTTAAATAATGATTAAAATATTTTTTTCGATTATGAAGTTTTAGGGAACTTGGGGTTCAAGGCTTTGATTCCGATTCGGTTCACTGTTCTCTGATCTCGACGGCATAATTTCTGTAAGGGTTGGGAGGGGCCGAGGTTCGGAAGTAGGCCGCATCGTGAAATAAGCGGAAGACTTTTCTCGTCTTAAAAGCAGAAGAAGCCGGATAGTACACTTCAACCCTTTTCTCATCTCTTCTTTACTTTCACTTCTGGGCTATTTCTCTCGTTTCTCCTTTCATCTTTCCTTTGGTTTTTGGCTTCCTCCCAATGTCGTTGATCGACCCTCTCATCATCGATCTGTGTACCCATCGTCAAATCTGCATATCGCTGCCCTCGTCTTTTAAGATCGTTGCATATAAAACGCCGTATTTTGAAATTTTTAATATTCCAATGGATATATTTTTACAAAAGAAAATTTTTTTTTAATCAGCTTTTTATATATTGCATTAAAACAACATCTTTATTATTAGTTTTGATTTTTTGTCCATTAATTATTACTTTATTAATATTTATTAATAATATAGTAATTAGTATTTATTAATTTTATCAACAGATTTCCTACGTTTCAAGTAATAACAGATATGATAAAATGTAAATAACTGAAAAATCTAATTAACATTTTTTTTATATAAATGTAAATTAAAACATAAAATTACAAATAATTTAAAATAAATTTTGAAAGAATAAAATTATGAAAGAATTATATCAATATGAAAATATTGATACACAATATTTAACGTCGAAAATATGTCAGCACAATAGGCTTGTTAATTTTCAACCATTTTGATCCTCGAAATCCCTGGATTCAGAGACGCGATTATAAAATAAGCTGGGAGTTATGGACGGAATGTGGTTGAAATTATTTCGGTTGAATATCTCGGATATTATTTGAATATTGCTGACGTGATGCCAAACATTGTGCGAATTACAACCTAGTATAAATTATTTTGATTATTTATGAGTAAATATATTTTTCGCAAATGTGTATTAAAATTATTGTTTATTTTTACATCTTGCTATATTCGCGCGAATAAAAATCATGAAACACGTCTCTTCGTGGACGTCTCGCGTGCCAATTTATGAAAACGTCAGCCCTATGATATACTTTTCTAAATCCTTGCCAAGCAATTCGCATTTATCATGCGGCAATAGCTATTACTCTTTCCGGACATTCTGAAAATTATGGCATTCTTTTCGCGTATATTGAATCGGTGTGAAAATCGATATTTGCTTGGCTGCCTTTCAAACGCTAATTACACAGTACGAATGCAGGACAACGAATATAACGTAGCAATCAAAACGAGGAACGAGGGAAGTCATTGTGCCATAGCTTGTTGCTAAATCTGGTTCACTCGTTCCTAATTAACGCGACCAGAATTTTACGGTGCAAAACAAGAATATCAGCATATTTTATGCTTTTCCGCTTCGTTTCGAAAAGATATAATTATGGTAATAAACGTTTTAACGAATAACTAAAATTATTTAAATGGAAAGTAAAAATATCTCACAAATACAAAGAGTAAAATTTATTACTCTGAATCTGATTAAAAATTTGTTTAATTACATTTAACAATTTCTTGAAAAATTATTAATTATTAAAGGCTTAGAATCTTTGAATAAAATATGTCAATGGATTTAAAATATTTGCATTAATGTATATTAGTTAAATAGAAAATAGACGTTTTATACGGCATTCATAATCGTGCAGGAAGCAATATGATTCGACTCAATTCTCTCTGTCCAAATGACTTTGTATAATAAATAGCAAATCGCTAATATTGACGCGCAAATAGTTCCGCCAATATCACGCTAGGCTAATTTTGCAAACGCTTTAGTCGAGATCGCATTGGAACGACGAGAATATCGGATTACCGCATCTCGTTGCTCATGGAATACGTCTACTTGATTAAGATTTGTTTGCACTAGTCAGCGTCATTTTTACGAGCCGCCATTCTCGTGGCGCCGGCAATTACCGGATCACTTATCTTTTTCTAAATTCGCCTCGTCCGTAAAATACGTTTCCGTCCGGCGGAGCAGCCAAACAGTTCGGTATTTACGTATGTCCACGTGTCGGCACGACTGCCATTGCAAGTCTCTCCCGTCGGACGACTTGGATAACAATGTCATGCCAGAGTATATATTTGATTTATTGCGTTTAAATTTCCCTTAATAACGTTGAATGTTTATCTGATTATAGAATCGTTAATTAAGAACGATTAAGTTTCGACAAAATTAATGGCACGTATTAAAAGTTTGTATTGTGCACTTTTATTTATACAAAAGAATAAATATGCTCATATGGATTTGTTTTGGATTAAATTTTATAACTTATTGGTTTTGACTGTTTTGTTCAATGAACTGAAAAGCGAAACAATAATTCCGATTGTTTGGAAATGAAACATAGAAAAGGCGAATTTAGTTTTAATTCTCTCGATTGTGGTGTAAATACGTCAATTGTCGGATTAATTTTTTCGCAGGCAAATCCCAAAAGGAGATTTTATTGTGATTATAATCGAAATGCAATGCGCCGAACATTTAATATCTCTCGCATTTGTTTTTTATTCGTTTATCATGCAAGGTGGAAGAAGGAAACGCGAAGAAAAGGTGAAAAAGTAGCTTATGGGATGAGCGATCAAAGAGTTGTTCGTTACAGAATGAAAAAACAACATGCAGCACCGGTATCAAAGAATGCTTAATTAAATTTCCCTCCAGCCGTCGATCTCCGCGAAACGTATCAACTTGATTAAGGTTTGCTTGTTGCCTGTGATGTGTCGCGATGAGGTTTCCCGGGAAACTTTCGATCCTATGTAAACGATAGAGAGAGAAAATTAATTCGAAGTAAAAGTGGAATTTGTTGTGCCGATAGATCGTACTCACTAATTAATCTGATACGGTAGGCAGGAAGAGATTTTCCATGTGCCATATTTTTGCGGAACGTTTATTTATAATTTCTCACGGATGAAATAGCAGTCTAGAATGGAATTGATTAAGATTAAAAAAAACAAATCTATTATTTTATTTTAATAATATAAGTTAGAAAAAAGTATAATATATATAAGCAAGCATAATATACATTTAAAAAATATCAAAATCACAAAAAATGTATATAATATAAATTTAAAAAATAAAATAATTTTTTTTTGTAATATTTTTATCTGGAAAAGTAGATACGTAATTAAATATAAAGTTTAAGATCTCCATCAATGCTCTCATAAATAAACCAATAGCGAATTTCGAGGTAGCAATATCGAAATAGTGAAATATGTAGAATCTGCTTTCGCTACATAAAAGTCTCTCTCAAGAAGCATATATATTTATATACTTTTCCACAGCAGAGTTCGCGTGTACGGTTGATCTCAGGTTTTCCGCATGCATTATATAAAAAAATTTCAATTATTATTATGTTTGAACGGAGCATTTCGCTATCGTTTTCTCCAACGCGCAAGGCACTTCGACAACGGAAGGAACATGTTTTAAATGAAAATTTTCCTTCCACTCCATATCCGCTCTCAGCTTCTTTACTTAACATTAATGGCAATGTCTTGCGGTACAAGATTGTGTTCGTCCGCTTTACTCACTCACTCCTCTCCTCGCTTGAGCTCTCTCTTTCTCTCTCTCTCCCCTCTTTTCATGATGTTCGTGTGTAGAAGGGACAGACGAAAATGGCAGCGAGAGTAAACTAGCTGTGAAAACGTCACCGTGTTAATGGCAATACGCCACGCTGCGCCCAGGGGAGAAAAGCGAACAGGAGGAAAAGAGGAAAATTTTGTTACGCGCTCGCATACCGAGCCAAGCTGAGCCGAGCTGAGCCGAATCTGGAGCCAAGTAAATCGAGTAATGTCGTTAAGTGCCGACGCGATTTCCCGCTCGTCATCTTCCGAAGAAATTTATATCGCTTTGGGAAAAGGACGAGCGACGAGACCGTAATGTTGCACCTAAGGATCTCGCCTGAAATCTTGAATTTCTCGTCACAGGTTTCATTAACACTCAAGATTTAATTAAATTTTTCTTAATTCTCCTTAAATTATTATTAAAGACCGCAAGATTATAATTTGATGAACCAATTTAATAAGCAAAATAAGGAAAAAAGTATCGTTTAGGAAGAACGTTATTTATCAAAAATAAATTTTCAGAGGTATATTTTTGGTGATTTTTTACGTGAATAGGGGACCGATATTAAATCTCGAGAGTTAAAGTTGGAGGCCAAAAGCAAGGTCTATTATAAGGAGCAGCTATATTTACGTTGAAAGATCTTGATTGCAATATAGGTTATCCGAATAACGGAAAGGTCGATACTTGGGAAAATTATAATATATCGATTATTGCGAATAAAAAGAGAATCGTTCCTCACCTAAAGAATATCGCCGCTACTAGCAGCTCTCGTGGTCCTCGTCGCTGGTTCCAGCCGATTGTTCGGCTCCGCTCGCGGCCTGCAATAAATGAGCTTCCAAAAGGCTTTGCGAAAGTTATCGCTTAGAAAAGCGTACAGGAAGGGGTTAACGCAGCTGTTCATATAGGCGAGGATATGACTGGCTATCTGCACCATTATCGTAGCCGTTGTGAGCGGATATATGTCCAAGGATTTGATCACCAGTATCACCTGCAACGTGACGTTGCGGATGATATCGGATGACGGAGTACCGAAAATTCGTTACCTTCAGACAAGCCTTTACCTGCAAAGGACACCAACAGGCGGCAAACACACCGACAACGACGAAGACGAGTCTCGTGACTCGTTTTCTTCCGCGTCGGCTCTCGGCACTAACGCGCGTGCCGCGCCATAGCCTGACCAGCATGCACATGTAAAAAATACATATCAGCACCAGAGGCAAAACATAGCTCGTCAGAAAAAAGGACACCTGGAAGGTGGTCCAGTCGTACTGCGCTATGATCCGACAGGCCGTCAGGTTTTTTGTTAACGTGACATCCTCTATCTCCTGGAACAAGTAGTGGATCTACGTACACGCGATACATAAGAGCTTGTGGGTCAGAGCCGAGAGATACGTGGAGTATTGTTCGCGACGTACTTACTTCGCCGTGAATCACGAGTGCGGGCGTCGATAGCGCCAGGATTAACACCCACGCGACACAGATCGCCAATATCGCATGATGCTCCGTTCTCCAGGACATTGACGCGATCGGATGGACCACCGCCAAGTACCTGCAAGCAATTTTTCATCTTGTCAAGTCAACTCCACCGCTTACTTTTATCGAATTTTATCATTAACACAATTTTAATTGCTAATCGCTGAGCAGCGAAAACCGGAAGTCAAACTATTGTTTCAGCAAAGTTTTATAGTAGATTATAATTGCATGAAGCTAGATCGTAAACATCCTCCTGCTTCTATCTTTAAAATCTAGCTCAAGTTTTACTTCTTACTTTACGTTAGACTATCAGCTTACAAATTAAAGATCAGTTTACAAATGCATCTGAAATAGTAGCTTCTAACGAAACATTCAATTTACGAATTATATCGATGTTAAGTCTTGTTTTAAGGATCAGTTTAAAAATCAGTTTGAAAATGATCTCTTAAATGCTATATCTGTCTTAAGAAAAAAAGTTTGTAAAAGAGGGCAGAAACCAAGTAAAAGCTTTCAAAGTAGTTTAATTCCACTTCAGTCTTGTCCTAACAAGACTGAAAAGAGAACGCAAAAATCGATTAATTGTTTATAAACAAATTTGTAACTAAAGTTAAATCTTACTAAACATACTAGTTTATATATATAAATATACGTACAAGACTTAACATCGATGTAATTTGTAAAATAAATGTCTTGTTAAGGACCACTTTTAGATAAACTTGTAAATTGATTTTTAGTTTCAACGTGACATATAGTTGAAAATAAATGTATGTAATGTTTATCGAAACAACTGACGAATCACGATAAATTAATTCTAAATAATATTTGTTTTTACAAAATCTTTAATTTTATTATTATTAGAATTTCTCCTTTTTTTCTCTTATTATAAAATTATATTCTGTTTTCTTAATCGTTGGTATGCTTTGCTCGAATAATTAAGCAGATCTCGCAGATGTACAGACGGGGTCATTAATGCCTGCTCATTTTTATAGTATACGTAACGTACATTAATGACCCCGTCTGTACAAACAGAATTTGATTCTCGCATAACTTCTTTTAATAGCACAAACATGTGATAGTCTGATAGAGCAGGGTTTGGGCTACAGAGAGCGAGATGTAAGCGAAGTTCAAATTTCAGCTGTTTGATTGTGTCAACAGTGGTTGCTGCGGAATACGAACACACGTTATCGCATAGCAGAAGAGCCCCTTAATGAGCGCGTCTCTCTGCTTATTGCGAATCATTGGTTTTAACTTTGGTTTCAATATTATAAAGCTTAATTTGTAGTTGTGCTATCTTATAATTATGTATAGCTTTATCAGTTAGTATGCTAGTTATAGTTGTGATTAAGCAACTAACTTTGACAATGCATTTGTTGCATTACAAACTAACAAATTTGAATCTTCCTCGTATATATAGTTATATATCAATATATATAGATAATGGTTTTCAAAGTTTCTGATGCTAAATATATAATGTTCGAAAACTTTGGAAACTATTTCGAAGATATCGTTGTTTAATTCAAAGGAAGCATCTGTTAAGACGTTCTGAGTAAATTGAGTATTTATATTGTTCAACGTTATTATGAGTCCAAACATCGATCTTTTGATTAATTATAAAAAATATTTTTTAAATACAGTTTCAATATAAAGAAATTATAATGAAGAAAATATAGTGAAAGTTAATTATGAATACATTTAGCATTAAATATAAGAAGTCTTTAAAAAGATCTAATTCTGAGATTCTACATTTTGAGATTATAACGAGAAACTTTGTATAAATTTCTCCAATCAATTTTACTTCCATTATTTCCAAAATTTTAGAAATTATTTCGAAGAATTTGTTATATGTTGAATTCAGAAAAAATATCTGTATATCGAGTCATATTTATTTAATATATGTATTTCTGTCTAGTTTTTATTAACAAGCAAAGTATTTTATAAACCGTTTACATTTGTATTAAAATAAATTATATTAATTTTATTAATTATATAAATCATATAAATAAAACAAAGTAAATATTCTCTTTTATTTATCGAAAAATTGATCGGAGAAGAATGAGAATGGATACTTTAGCTTTTTGCCTAATTATTCGCATCTAAAGTATTTTCTACTAAAAAATTTGTATTATTATGGAAATTTATAATAAATAATTTATCATAATTATTTTTTATTAACGACAAAAACATTTGTGTTCTTAGAAATTTTTTTATCAAAGCAATTATACCGCATTAACAACATCTCTTCTATTGGTAATTTTCTCTCATGCTTTTAATATTCAGAATTGTAAATATGTTTATTACAAATGATATATTATAATTATCTCTCTGTGTATGTGTGTGTATAAGAACATTGCATCATTAATTTTGCATCATTAATTCTTGCCAGAACAGTGATGACGAATAATATTTGCAAGCAAAAATCGAACGAAAAAAATTATTTAAAATACGAAAACATTTTGTATTCTAAAAAACAAATGCTTTTTATTCTTTGCTAGAAGCATTTCATACTTATTTGTACGTTTCATCATAAATAATTTGTTTCAAGTTTTATTAACATTTACTGTCTATCATCTAGAAGTATATGAAATTTTATGTCAATTACTTTTTGCATATAAATTATCTTACAATTAAGTTTAGTGTTAAGCGAGAAATAATTTGACATACCAACCTGTCGAGGCTCATTAGGACCAGAGTGTAAACGCTCGCGTAAGCAGTAACAATGATCAGATATTGAACAATCTTGCACCAGACGTTGCCAAAAGGCCAGTACGGTAGTACGAAATCGGTGGCCGTGAAGGGTATACAAAATATGACGAACAGCAGATCTGCCACAGCGAGGTTGATAATGAGGATATTCGTGGTCGACCTCATTCCGGCATTCGCCGCTACCACCACGACCACGAGTGAATTCCCGGCTAGACCGAGGATGCCGATCATACCAAAGAACAATGGCACCACCACCATCACGATCTTTTCTACCAATTCGCGATCATAGCTATATTCGAATCTCTCACAGGCCTCGAATCCAGATGCAAGCGTAGGAAATTGCTTGCTGCAGTTGGTGAGCGCATTGCTTGCATTCGCGATTCCTGATTCCATTTTTAGCGAGGTGATCAACTTTACGAATCGATGTACAATCTCTTCGATCAGCGTTAGTAGCGGCGATATTATTAAAGCCGATCTATTTAAGGTAGAAACAGAAAAACTGCTTCTGATATATTATGACAAACGTTAATTTAACGTGGAAGTCTTAATAAGACTTTAGTTTTATTTCGATTAGAATTGTGCAACCTTTGTTTATACTGAGGACGCTGAGGTCCTTTCTTCTCGCGAAATTCATTCTCACGTCGAACGTCGAGTATCCATGGTCGACGATTTGCTCGTTCATGGTCGAGTATTCATGGTCGATTCATCACTCGTTCTTTTTTCATGGCATCATATTTCACAAGTTTTTGTTTGAATTCTGAGAAACTTTAAGAATCAATGAAATTTCAAGATATAAATTACAAAAATTAATCGCATTTTTCCGTGAGGAATGCTAACATAATGCTTCACTTTCTGAGTTTGATTTTTTGTTTACGTTAAAACTGCAAATAAAATTACAACTCTCTAATCATTTATTCATTTGTTTGCATATTAAAACGCGCTAAATTGGACACTTCCTAATTTTTTATCAAATAATCAGATCAAATTAACTTTACGTTTCGCTAAGAATTTTGATCGAGCGTATTTCGACATATATAAAAAAAATGTAAAAATTTAATAATTAATTTTAAAATATATAATTTAACGTAAGCATGTTAATACTGGTTCATTTTTACACGCTTAAGCTTGGCAAACTGAAATTCACACGAATTACCGTTGATCTCTCCGTCATTCAAATAGTAGCTTTCACGGAATAATTACAGCAAGCACATCTGAATTGTGCCGAGTATGCTTTTATATTTAAATAGAGTATCATTTTGCTTTGTTAAAATATTATTATTCTACTTGATCTAATAATTATTATAATCTTCTTATCTTTTTATTTTTAGTCTACTTTTTCAGTTCCATATGGTAGCAAACCACAGAAATTCCACGATTTTATGCTAAATTTAAAAAAATACGATAATTAAATTAAATTGAAAGACATTGAACACATTAATCGAATATTTAAATGACGTGAAATTGCAACTATTTTTAATAAGTAATGTCATGCTTCACGTTTCATATATTCAGCCGCTTACCGCCAAACAATTAAATTTAAAGTTTTATACGAATATTTCGTCTATCTTTTTTGCCGAAATAACAAGTCGTTTTCTTAAATGAAACTATTGTCGTTTGATTGCAATATAATTTTTTATAGAAGACAATTCCATGTGCTTTGTTTCGCGTCATCAATCGCTGAAATGTAACTTTACCGTCGCACACATACAACACGTGAAAATGATCACGGCGGATCGAAATTAAAAAATTTTGTTTGCCAATTTGCAATTAATTAATTTGGTGAAAATTTAGCTCTTGCTGTTGGAAGTCGCACTTTCAGAAAACTTTGTTGATAAAGTTACTAGCGGCAACTGGCCGAATCGCGAGAAGTACCCGCATACTGCCGCGTGCTGCGATAACGCCAGTTCCGGGGGTAGTTTTATACTGAGCATCCTCGTTGGCCGACAGCGCGGCGCGGCCGGGAATGGATAGGGCTAGGTAAGATTGAACATCGGGTGGTATTTGCGGCGCCATCTGCCATTTACGCACGTTGATACCGAAATAAGGATGCATTGTATACATGAACATATATCTGCACACACATAGAAAGAAACATTAAATTACAATTTGCAGTACAATTAAAAGAATTGTCTTTTGATCACATATGTTTTTTTTTTTTTTCAATGTAAAGACCTAAATTTTTGTCGTCAAAAGTGTAACACGTTTTTAATTAGTAAAATAAAAAACGTCTCCGAATCATTAATAGAAAGAAATATAAAAAACTAAACTAAAAATGATTATTAAAAATTTGATTTCTTATGTTTAAAAAATTTTATTTCTAAACGTTCAAGTTTCAGCTGTAAATTTCTCAGTTTAACAATATTTCTGCATTGTATTTCAAGGTTTGCAACTAAATCGCACTTATATAATAATATTTATATCTAACTTCAAAAATTAATGAAAAAAACAGGTGAATTTTATTTTGTGAAACATCAAGATTGTCATTTCTTTAAATATCCCCATTCTTCCTTGATCATATCTGCCGCTTTCTCGGCGATCATAAAAACGGGTAAATTTGGGTGCCCCGATATAATCTCGGGTATGATAGATGCGTCTGCTATCCTCAGTCCTTGAACACCGATCACCTGCAAAAAATTGCACATTTAAAAATTCATAAATTATTTCGATATAAATTACAGCACAGTATCGAATTTCTTATAATAATTTTAATTTTAATTTTCAACAAACGCTACCTTTAATTTCGGATCGACAACAGCAGTGGCGTCTCCTCGTGGCCCCATTTTACAAGTCCCGGAGTAGTGATAGATTGTGCACGACAATGTTCTCACCGCACACTCCCAGTAAGCGTAAGAATCGTATTCGTACTTCTCGCATCCCGGAAGAGTGTCGTTTAATAATTCCGAACCGAACGCCTGCATCGCCTCTGTCTGACCGACGCTTATCGCATTCCTAATACCGGCAATCATCGTTTCGACGTCCTCGGGATCGTCGAAGTAATTTGGCGTGATCTCCGGCTTAACATTGATGTCATTAGCTAGCAATCTTATCCGTCCACGACTTTTCGGTTTCAACAACATCGGTAATATGGACCAACCATGTTTACCAATGTATTTACGCCATATATCGTACACTTTATTATTCAAACCCATTACAACAGGCACAACAAAATCACCTTTAAATATACCGCTAAAAAACATGAATTCAATATCCGGTAAGCCACTGCGTTCTTTTGGCTGCTTCGTGTCGATGAACGCGAGTGCTTCGCACGCACCCGGAATTGTAAGTGGCCCCGATCGTTTCATAAAAAAATCTGAAATATATCGATTAGCGGGATTTATCATATCTTGAAATCGTATACCCGTTAATTCTTTCTTCACCAACCACGTCAGACCGCCGTAAGCTACATGATCCATTAAGTTTTCACCAACAGACGGTGCATCGTAAATAACATCGATCCCGAGATCAGTGAGATGTTTGGAAGGTCCGATGCCGGATAGCATCAACAGCTTAGGCGACATGATGGTACCCGCGCACAAAATCACTTCCTTGCTTGCAAAGACGGAAATAAGCTGACCGTGTTTCGTGAATTCCACGCCAATCGCTCGATTCGCGCGACGGTCGATTAGCACTTTACTCGCCGTACTCTCAAGGCTCACATGTAGATTCTTGCGATGGCGAACTGGTTGCAAATACGCTCTATTGCTGCTCATGCGAGTGCCGTTCATGATCGTGCTTTGTAGGTGCGAGAATCCGATCAGGTTCTTCCCATTGTAATCCACTATCGGATATTCCAGCTCCTGGCCGGCACGTAAGAATGCTCCCGCCAACGGCGTGCGGTATGTCGAAGAAGAGACGTGCACTGGTCCTTTAGTTCCGCGGTACGCAATATCCGACTCCTGCTTTGGAATATCGATCGTTTCGAGTTTTTTGAAGTATTTGAGAACATCCTTGTAAGCCCAGCCTTCGTTCCCCATTTTAGCCCAGCGATCGTAATCCTCGGCGCCGCCTCTAGTGGCGATCATGTAGTTTAACACGCTGCTGCCGCCAAGTACCTTGCCTCTGGGCCAGTTGCAGCTGTTATCGATCATGCCAAGACAGTATTTTTTTGACGGTTTAGTTCGAAACTTCCAGTTGATGTTGTCGTCCAATTGCAAAAAGTAAACGGGTAATGGAATGTCCATCAAAAGGTTCTCGTGATATCCAGTTTCTATTAACAACACTTTTGCCTCAGAAACTTCACTCAATCTCGCGGCTATCGTGGCACCGGCTGTGCCACCACCTACTATTACGAAGTCGTACATGGTTCCGGATTGTGGCGTCGTATCTTGTATTTGTTGATTTAAAAAATGTTGATTTTGCTGCAGGAAATCGAACGAGTCGATTCCTAGTTGTATTAAATCTCTTAAGTTCCATCTTTCTGCGGAATTCTGCAGCAATTCTTGCCCGTTTAACAGTACGATTACAGCAAATACTGTAATGATTCTACTTAGAAATACTCTGTCCGACATGTTGAAAGGACGATTGACTTTTGAATACTTCGCATGCAGTACAGGAAGTATTTATGTGGATGCTGGTATATAAATCGGTAATGTAATGCATGTTTAATTCGATACGATATGCGCAAGTCCAGCAATTCTGTACATGATTGTATGTGTTTATATTTGCATTTATAATGACAAAAAAAGCAGTGACAAAAAAAGAGGCTATTATATTATTATATATGTGTAACTTCAGACAAAAAAGTCATCACATGAATCATATACATTCACATGTAATATTTGATCAAGATTTATTTTATAAAAAGAGACAAAGATTTTACCTTTATTTGCGTCATTAGTTTAAAGTTCAAGTAACACAATATATAACAGTCAACGTCATTGGACTTCCAATTAAAAACTTACTACAACCGGTTTTTCTTAACATGTGATTGCGGTCAATATAATTAACATATATGGTATGTGTCACATACAGGGTGAGCAATAACTGTTATCTTAAATATCTTTGAATCTATAAGTTCCAGGAGAAGATTTGTAACAAAAGTTGTAGGGTTTGGAGGGGGAAAAAAGATAGGGATATTAGTTTGATCTTGAGTGGAGGCGCTTCGGAAATTTGAAAGTCATCTTTATTTTTTAAAAATGAAACTATCCTGATTTTTTTATATAAATCAATTCCTCGCAATATTCGGTGTAAAAAGTTATAGGAATAAAATGGCCAAAAATTGAATAGTTTACGAGGTATTTTATACTTTAATTTGACATAATTTTACATAAACTATGAAATATCTCGTTAAATATTTGTTTTTCAATTATCTTATCTCAACACTTTCATGCACAAAATAATGAGAGGAATTAATTGGTGTAAAACGAAACACATAATTGTCTTTAAGAAAAAATATAATATGATATCATCTTAGCTACATATTTTTTCTTAAAGACAATCAAGGTGTTTTAAATACATCGGCCTTCAATCAGAAAAGGTAATAGAAGTATAATTCAAATACTTTCCACGTGAGTCCGCTATGTTTAATACTGCCGTAAATAATTAATTGTAAAATAATTGTTCAATCAAATATAGACGTGTTACAGAAATTATTTTTCGTAAAATCAAGCTTGCTTCAGACGATTTATAATTTGCGACAGAATTTGAAATAAAAACCAATTCATAATATTGTTAACATGAAACGTTATTATTAACGCAATTCCTTCTTTCCACTCTTTTGAACAATTTGATATTTTTAATTTGTGTCACTTTTCTTGCGGGTGTGAAATATGCGTACATTTTATTTTGATGGATAATTGACAAAAGTATATAAAAATTACGAATAAATACTCATTACGATATTCTCATAGAACAAAATTGCTAACAAAATACTTAATAAATTGTTAAATAATTATAAATAAATTTTGAATGGATATAATAAAAAAATAAAATTTTTTACGGTTTTAATACATTCGTCCTTGAAGAGATTAATTAGGTTTCAATTAGAAAGTTTTTTTTCTTTGCACAAAAGTGGCAGAGAAGCTTGAAGCGATTCTATTTACAAACAAAATTTTAAGAAAATGTTTTCGGCAAAAATTTGCGTATGAAACGAATTTGCACTTACTCATTACTATTTTTTTAGTATATATGATAATTCTATATAGCCATCTTCGTATTAACTGCGACTTACCATATACTTTATTAGTATTATTTAGTTGTGCGTGTTCCTTTTTATCATTCTTTAGACTGATTGCACTGCGTCTAAAATGCGATTTTATTTTATATGTTAAAGAAAATTATAAAACTAAAAATTGTCATACTTTAAATATTTGATACAAACTAATTTAACATATAAATAAGTAAAGAATATAAATTGGATTAGGTTTTTAATAAATTGACTGACCACACATCACGTTCATGTTAATTTTAATAAAGTACAACATTTAATTCTTCAAAAATAAGGAAACTTACATCAATATCGACGTTTTCCTTTTATCTCAAATAATCAATCACCAATTCGATTACCTATAAAAATTGCACTATAAAACCTGGAACACGTAAAAGTGAATTATACTGAAATGATAGTTATAAGTGGAATATTTCTTGTTTTTATTAATTAGAATGCCGCAATGTCGTAAATGACATCGTTTATGCGTTAATCATTTAAAAGTAATTTGCTACGCACACATTTTTTTATATTTGTTTTTTTAACGCGTCACGATCAATAATTGATATACCGATAAGTGTTATACAGAATGGGCCATTTTAATCCATCCACGCAAATAACTCCGTAAGTAAGCCAAATACAGAAAAATGGTTCAGACAAAAGTTGTTCAGGACAATGGGGGTCACTTATTTATGCTAGTGACTTTGACCTTGAAGTCAATTTTCAAGGTTATTTGAAGGTCAGAGTTATTTTTTTAAATGGAAACCCCTATTTTTGATTCCAAAATCTAATAGCTGGTGTCAAGAGCTTTTCAAAACACTATAATGAAGTTATTTTTCATTAAGTACTTTTCGAGTTATGAGGCTTGTAAATTACAGTATTTTGACATAAAATACAAAATATCTTGTAAAATATCTTGTAAAAATTTTGGGAATCTTACCTTAATACTTTTATGCATAAAATAATGAGACAAATCAATTGGTATAAAGAAAACACATAGTTGCTTTCAAGAAAAAATATGTAATTTGCAACATGCAACTGCATACTTTTTTTTAAAACCAATGTGTTTTCTTTATACCAATTGATTCGTCTCATTATTTTATGCATAAAAGTATTAAGGTAAGATTCCCAAAAATTGAATGTTTTACAAGATATTTTGTATTTTATGTCAAAATACTGTAATTTACAAGCCTCATAACTCAAAAAGTACTTAATGAAAAATAACTTCATTATAGTGTTTTGAAAAGCTCTTGACACCAGCTATTAGATTTTGAAATCAAAAATAGGGGTTTCCATTTTAAAAAATAACTCTGACCTTCAAATAACCATAAAAATTGACTTCAAGGTCACAGTTACTAGCATAAATAGGTGACCCCCATTGTCCTGAACAACTTTTGTCTGAACCATTTTTCTGTATTTGGTTTACTTACGGAGTTATTTGCGTGGATGGATTAAAATGGCCCACCCTGTATAACGCTGGAAGATTTTGAACAATTGGATTGTATCAATACACAACTAAAACGTTTTAATTATAGTAATAATGAAAATAGTAGTAAAATATTTTATAAAAAGTATATATATGGATACATATATTTTTTTAACAATTAATTTAAAAAAATTTTTTTAAATATATGCATTTTAATTAACAAATATATATTTTTAAAATTTTTTCTTGTAGATTTAAATATTTTTTAATGTGTGTACTTGGTTTTTAATTTTTAAATAATAGAATATTAATACAGTAATAAGATTAGTGAAATATATTTATATAATATAATGAAATTAATTTTTATATAAAAAGATCTTAACGTATATATGTATAAAGTCTGGCAATAAAAGTCACAAATTCAAACTTGTTTGCTTCTTATATCACTTAATAATTATAATATATTATTGGCTTTGTTTTAAAGTAGTCTTTAAAGTAATTTGTTCATAATCACAACAACAAATTTCTTCATGTTTAAGAAAATTTCCAGAACTAATTGTTATAATCGTTTCTATGACTATCTTAGACGTCATCTTAGATGTCACCTTAGACATTAATTTTCTTTTTGTAGCTTTATTGTTATATAAATTCCTTTATACATTTCATAGCCTTTGGCTCTCATTTCTTTACTAAAAATTTTACATTTTCTCTCTAACAGCGTTGGCAGATATTTAAAAAATTTTTTAATATACATAATTTTAGGTATTTTTTATGTCTTATTCTTCTTTCTTAAGTGATGAATTATTGTATTTTTGTAGTGATAAGATTGGAGAAACATACCTATACATGTAAATGTATACATATGTATTTTTCTATTTTATTTCACATATCTATTTAAAACAAAATTGTTATAAATTTTACATAATTCCGGTTCAAATCGCACAGAGGAAAAAATGTTCGCGCAACACTAGTTCCCAAAACACAGCATTAGACATTTAAACAATCTTTTTTAGATTGTTTTATGCTCGCATTAATCTAAAAGAAAAAAAATACTTAAATACAATTTTGAAAATATATTCGAAAGACATTCCGTATATTCATCACTATGTATATTTCAACATTTGTTCTTAAAGCTATTTATTATTAATCTATGCACATCTAAATATATCGCTTCAGTACAATTTTACGGATAATAATTTTTTTATATATAGTAATAAGAATTTTTACACATACATACATATCTCTCATATTCTTGTAAAATTTTATATGTCATGCTTTCACAGATAATTATCAATATGTAACAATACCTTTGTGCGTATTCGCAAGGTATCAAAATGGTCGGATTCCATCGAGAAAGTAGTCATTCATTGCTACAGGCCTTTTCTCCCTAGTACAAACGAGCTTTTATTTAATTTTCTATGAATCTCAATAATTGGTATAAAGTTCATCAATCCGTACAAATTCGTTTTTGTACTAATAGCTTAAGCGCGTACACAAATTCATAATGTAGTGTAAAATATATTTGTAGTATTAAACAATCTATACTTTCTTTTCAGTATTTCTAAAATAGTCAACTATACAGCACTCACGCAAGAAATTAAACAGATATATACAAATCAATTTTTACATAAAATATTTTAACGCATTTACGATAAATCATTAATTCCATACATATTACAATGCACACACTAAGTAGAAAAGTCAGCTTATAGAGAGGGGTATAAATCTAACGCGTTAATGATAAAATAATGTTTAAGGACAAACAAAAGATAAATTTTTTATAATACATAGATATTAAAAAGAATGAATTTGAATTGAGACACCATATACAAGGTTAATTTTTCAATTAATAAAAAATGGATAATTTCCTCTTTGTTAAATTATTTTGGCCGCTAGATTACAGATTCTTTAATTGGTGAAAAAAAGAGATAAGGATAAACATTCGTAGAGTAAATCGATTATACATAGACATCGATTGTTTGTAGTGAAAAAACTGAGGTGTACGTGTTACTCGCCATTATATATCATATAAATGCCCAAGTGGGTTCTATACCCAACTTATTCTACTAGTCAAATCGCAAACTTATTAAATTACAATAGCGCCTGAATATAGCATTCGCAGTTTCACGACAATCCTGAACTGTACATCAACGCTATTGGCTTAATAAGTAGAATTTATTGACTTTGTTGAATATTTAATTCAACTATTGCAAACGACTATAATGTAAATATTTACGAATTCCATAAGTAGAATCTTTTTTGAAGAAGCGTAAACTCCTCGTCTGAAAACTTGGCAGTGATCAAAAAGTCTTTTGTTAGGTCAAAAGTTACAAAATCGATATGTGCATTTAATTATAAATTCGTGCATGACATGACGACTCGTAGAAAGATAAACACAAAATGTGTGACTATGTCGAGCTTAATACGCGGAAAGTCTATTTATATATTACGATAAAAAGGAATAAAACTCTGTGTGTGTGAGGTCTGTTGGATAAATATTTTAGGATTATTGACTTAGGCTGTACTGCTGTGATTATTAGCGCCGCTGATGACACTGAAGAGAGCGGCGCTGTTGCGTTTAAAATTTCCCACTTGCTCGTCAGGCCATATCGATTCCCCGAACAAGGACGATAAATTCTGGCACAATTTCTGATAATTCTCGCGCAGCACTTCTTGGTACTCATATTGATCGGGCGTGATCAGTTTGCTATTAATTTGCAACGCTGTATAGCATATCTTGACAAACTCCCTGAAATCACAAACATAAATCGTAAAATCGTACTTTAACATCACTCGTACGAAAAATCGAGATACAAAAATTGTACCTGAAAACATCTTTCAACTCGTCCACTTTGTCGTCGGGATATTGCGGTGATAGCGCGGGATCCAAGAATGCGGAGGCGTAAGCTAGAGGACCGGCGTTTACGGTTACACAAATACTACCCTGAAGACGTAACTGCAGCTTCTTCACATCCGTCGGTCCGATCAAAGTTACGTCTTCTAATTCTTGAACGCGCTGCCTCATCTCATCTAACGCCACCTCGATAGGACTGAGCTCTACTATTCGTTTCTCGGCAATTCCAATGCGCTTCTTTACATATGGAAATGCATATTGCGCTGTAAAAGTGAACGCAGAATATTTCAATTTTTTTATCAACAAGATAAGCAAGAAAAATTAATTTTCAATTAAAAGACGAGATATATTGATAAGTAATTATGTACATATATTTGGGATTCGATATGAACAAACATACTTGTGAGAATAGTTCTGCGTTTCCATTGATCTTCCGGATTGCCCCTCACTTTGCCATCCTTAGTAAACGGCGTCTCAAACATGAAGCAGGACACATTGTTGTTCTGCTCAAATTCTGTCTGTCGCATTTCCAATTCAGACTTCTCAAAGTACGGCGTTACATGCGTCACTTGAATGTACGCTATCTTGGGGTCCAATTCGCTGACGTCGACCGGCACGGAGTCCATTATCATCTTAACGTTTTCAGATCCGAACTTTTCACTGTACAGACGTAACAAACGTTCTGATATCTCGGACAGCGATGTCACCTTTGGTTCTTTATAGATATATTCTTGGCCGGTTTCCTCCTCAAAGTACGCCTAAACAATAAGTTTTATTACTTGTTAGTACATGCGAATACGCAAAAACGTTTTCTAAAATTTACTGTTATTTAATTTGTTGTATTGTATATCTCACCGTGCCGAAGAATGCGATTCTATAAAACCTGCCGAGCAATCTCTTTCCCGTTCGCGTAACTTCCACGATTTTATTACAGGCTTGCGCCAAATGCGAGTAGCAATTTGCCAGAGCTTCGTAATTTCTCTTCTCTTCGTACATAGGAACTATTAAGCGATATAAATGTCCAAGCAATTCGAAACGCTCGGCCTTTTCCAATGTGTCAGCGCAAACTTCCAACTGCTCGAGAAGTAAACTTTCATTATAGTGAATGTCTTGGACGCCTGAAACAGGATTGATATTTCTCATACACATCTGTATTTTACTTATATGCGCATATGATACGATGAAAGCGTAACACATGGACAAAATAGATACAATACAATAAAGCAAACATACAAATCTCACCAGCATCGAGCTTAAGATTACGTTCGTCTTTCGAAATGTTCACAGAAATTTGATCGAAAGCCTCTGCGCCCCATGAATGAACCTTCCGCAATTTCAGATATTCAGCCATTAGCGCTGCGATATGCAATTGGCAACAAGCAGCCTTGAAAAGAAAAAAAAAGTGTACATGTTATTAAAATGTACGAGAATCTCGTAAAACAAGTTTTGAAATTTGCAAGATTATAGTTTAAAAATAAAGTTTGATCGACGAATAAGATCTATTATATACACACTTAATAAAACACTAAAATAAAACTTGTCAAAAGTGTATAAAAAAACAAAGAATCTTTTTTATCGATCAATTCTCACAATAAATTACAAATTATTATACCTCCGAGAAATTGCCATCCCTGGCATGATTCCTGGCCATCGTCTCCAACCATGTATGTCTCAATTCGGGTGTACTGGCGTAAGAGTTGGCCAAACTATGTTGCAAGTCGACCAGCATCTCCGGGTCGTTATTGTGCTCCCGCATTTGCGCGGTAGCCATTAATACCGTCCGTATTCGTTTATTGAGATCTTTTACTTCGACTGGGAAGCCTGTGCCCTTCATGACTTTATCAGAGGAGGCATAACTGTTGATTAACGATAGCGATTCTTGAAATCGCGAATTGTTCAAGCCGATTACGTTGCCCAACATTTGAGAAACCGAAATAATCACCTGCGAAGAAGAAACTCGCGATAAATCTCACGTTAATTAAAGTAGGAAAGAAATAAACGCGTTTAATATGCAATTATTGCTAAACAGCACAATAACATTAAATAGATATGAAGATATAAAGATATGTGGCATTGTATAAAGCAATTTAACGATTATCAAAAGACACGGTCATGTCTCGCGCTAAGTATACGCGCAACAAGGCCGATCGCATATCTATACGCAAGCCGACCATTTAATAGTTTACGAATTTTTCATATCTTTGTGGTGCAAAGATTGATCAAGTTTTTAATAGACTTAATCGATCAAGATACACATTATTATAATAAGTATATAATAAAAATATATTTATTTTTTCTCCAAATGCCCTATAAAAGAAAATATCACGATACAAAATCGGAAAGAATTTTGAAGAATTAAAACTCTCTCGCCGTTTCCAATATAACTTTACAATTTCCATCACGAGATTATCGGCGCCAATTATTGATTTAATGATAATTGACTTGATTCAGCTCTTATGATACTTATCTTATGATATAAAATTTAACTTACATGTATACGAAAAACTGCTTTGAACAGTAAAAAGATCCAAAGTAATTTTTCTCACGTGTACTTAAATTAAATTTCATATAATAAAATATCCTTAATAACTGATGTGTATGAAGTTAGCCCCACACTTTAATAAAATTAAAATAATCGAAATTGTACTGCATTGTACTAGTTTTGTACCAAATTGTACCGTAGTTAATTTTTTGAAATCACGCGCGGATTTCCAAAAAATTGAAATTTTTGAATTCTTTGAGTAGCCCCACACTTTTCGAAAAATGATTTTTTCTCGACTGTACTACATTGTACTAGTTGTACCGAACATTGTACCGTTTGAAAAAAATTCCTAACAAGTTTGGATTTTGGGAAAAACGAGAAAATCGAAAAATTTTGGACATTACGTAATTACGGTAAATCGGCTATTTTTAAGTTACCGTATTTACGTATTGTTAAAAATTCGGTACTTCCGGTCCGGTTGAGGTGCAAACGAAATTCAAAGCGGTACAAACCGGTACAAACGATTCTCTTTCGAACCCCGTTGGCCGCGTTTCGATATCTTAAAAAATAGCCGATTTGTCGTAATTACGTAATGTCCAAAATTTTTCGATTTTCTCGTTTTTCTCAAAATCCAAATTTGTTAGGAATTTTTTTCAAACGGTACAATGTTCGGTACAACTAGTACAATGTAGTACAGTCGAGAAAAAATCATTTTTCGAAAAGTGTGGGGCTATTCAAAAAATTCAAAAATTTCGATTTTTTGGAAATCCGCGCGTGATTTCAAACAATTAACTACGGTACAATTTGGTACAAAACTAGTACAATGCAGTACAATTTCGATTATTTTAATTTTATTAAAGTGTGGGGCTAACTTCATACACATTAATAACTGTCCATGTATCTCCACCAAATTGTTAGCAATTTGGAGGTTGACAATTTGGAAAAATAACAGTCTACTCGGACAATCTGCGTTAATTTGAAGTCTCCCGTCACTTTTAATCTCTTGGCGATTGATTGAGTAAATCAGTTTTATTTCATGAGGAAATGACTATTAGTATAATCATATTTCGACGATATCGCATATATTTGGCGGCTTTTTTTTTTATTTTTTTGTTAAAGGTATTTTTAATAGATATTTTAAATGTAAATACTATACCTGCAAATGCACTCTCGTCAATCCTTTCCGACTAGTGAATTCGAAATTGCTTCGCATGAGTAAATATAGCAAAGCGCAGGACTCCTGCCGTATGGAACTCAACTTGCTGTTGCAACAACGCAGTAGCTCGTAACACAAGCGCCCGCAAAGTATAGCGTTCCCTATAAAGTAAGGATTTTGTTCAAGCTTTGTGCATATTTTACGTGAGTTCGTTATATGCGCAATTTAAGACTGAAGACCAATGTTTTAAATATAAAAAAGGAATAATTACCTTGAAAAAGCGCGATGGAATAATTGTTCAAAAAAGCTCTAAGCCCGGCGAAAACGTGACGTAATAAAGTTTCCGATTGTCCGACTTGAAGAAACGACAAATAAATGTTGAAGAACTTTTGCATAACTGGATTGTCACCTTCGTTCGCCAAAAGAATATCCTGCAAAAAGGAAAATGCGTTAATATTTCATATACAAACATTCTTACATTAATTTCTTAATTTTTTTATTATTTTGTAATTTAAATATTTTATTCCTCAGTTTTACTTATTTTAAATAAATTTTTATTTAACGAAATCCTGTAGCATAAGTTAATTATCAATTTTTTGATGTATGTAATAGTCTTGTACGAAAATTACGAATTAATTAAAACATTTGTTACGATGGCATATTATATACATAATAAAATCATTAGATAGAAAATTTACAATAGCAATTACTTTAAAATGGATACAGAAGAGTCCTAAGCAATCCAGTGCGATGAGTCCGACTTCCGTGGCCATGTTTGCCTCTAGTAGAGCTTGATATACTTTGCTGCTATCATTCTCAACTAGATTGTCTCTAGTAATTGTATTATGAGGTTGTAGAGTGCTGGTAGCAGGATTTTCAGCGGTAAAATCTGGCGGCGCCATTCTGGCGGGTAAAGTCATTGCTTTCACAGTACGAGGCTTTCCAACATTATTCGCAGCGTTGGAAGCTATTTGTCTCTTACCAATATATTTGAAATGATACAAGCTCATCCTAAAAATAAAAAAAAAACAATGTTATTCGCATAAAATTTAAAAATAAGCGTACTAAACATATATTAATACACTAGGCATTATTTGCACCTTGAACTTCCGATTAGATATTTTCAAAGTACGTTTTTTTATTGCTATTTTATATATCATTAGCCTTCTTTACTCACTCGATCACCGTGAAGAAGTTCAATATTTCTGTGTCACTGCATTGTTGCCACCAAGCAATCACTTGATGGTCGCCCAGATATTTGACAATAAATAGGAAACAGAGCAATATGTCCTTCACTTCCGAAGGCTGCAATTTATCGCACCTGGGCGACGACTGCGTCACGCTCAAAGAACGCGAGTGTCTCTTTTTCTCGCCCGTTCCATTTTCCACGAGTTCCCTCACAATGGCAGTTTCTTGGGAAACATTCGATTGAGACGCACCAGACACTGTCGATGTATCGGATTCGACACTGGTGCAGGAATATCCGTTTACTAATCCTTGACCCGCAATCGCGGCGAAGTAAGTAGAATCTCGTAGGTGCATGGATGTTCTTGCGGGTGATTGAGTGTCCAGATGAAGAGTCAGTCTGCATAACATTAAAGCTTTTCTTTGATTTTTCCTAATTAATTAGTAATTATAATTAATAATCAATTATATCAACGTTTACCTATGAATTGACTTGGGTGTGCCTGCAGTTGTAGTGCTGATATTGCTATCTTTGGCTGACAAAAACGAGCTGCTGGTCGACACTCTGTTCGCGCCGTTTTGCTTAATTTCCGTCTTAATCTCGCTTTCCTGTACTGATTGAAGTCGGTGCAGATTCTCCAATACAATGCCAAGCCATGGTATGTAAATTGATGCTATTCTACTCAATTGACCCTGTAATAATTAATTAAAATTTGAAACATACTTAATCGTATAAATTACCAAAACAAATTTTCCTAGTTATTTTGTAAATGGCGCAATTTTTTAAAAATTATGCTTATAAACGTATTAATTAATAAAATATTGAAAGCCACACCTTATTCTGATATCTATCGTCCAATTCGTGCTTTGCCATTTGATCTCGTAAAGTATTAATAGCCACTTTACGAGTTTGCAGAATTTCATTAAGCGAAATCTTAACTTCTTGTATCAAAAGGCCAGCCAGGAAATGGTGTTTGCAGAATTCCTCCGTTAGGCAATATTCATTCATCAAATCTGTCGTTAAATAAACTTTTCATTTTTATTTATTTTCGATTAATTCATTCATTTTCTTGTCTAAATGTCTAATACAATAAAAATTGCACAAGGCATTATAAACATATATAAAATTTGTGTAAGACAAATGGAAAAGAATTCTTGGTGCATAAATCCTGTGAAAACATAAGTAACATATAAATTCGGTAGCCTGAGAAATTTCAATTTTCATTCAATGGTGCTTCTATAAATTGCCTGATGACAAATTATAATGAACTTGCGTGTCGACTACTATTATAAAGAAAATATGCAACACATATATCCGTGTATGAATATGATTATAAACGTACCCTCACATTCTGGTTCTCTCTCAGTGTCATTGTCAGTGTCATTGTCTTCCAAACAACACGCGAAACGATTAAGTTACATACATGATAAGTTAATAGATTTTACCGCAATGTTTTCTCACACGCATCGATAATACTTGAGGATTTACCTTTGGAAGCGACACGTGACTGCATTATTGGCAAGTTGAAAGACACGTAGTGCTCGTGAGAGCAGATAATTTGCAGGAAGGTGAACTTGAAGTCATGCAGCGTGCGTTGATCACCGGGCGAAAAATTGTCCACGTAGGAATTGATGAGAGAAAACACAAAACCGCGATCCATGAACGTGAGACATCGCTGCGATAATGAAAATCAATATAATGATAAAAATATACATGATGCATGTGTGTGATAATCATATGACGTCACGTACTTTTAAGAATTGCGCGAGACTTTTGTTCAATTCGTGCGTCTCCACTGGCATCTCTCTATACTTAGTCATTAAATATGGCATGATCACTTCCAATAACGCCTTGATCTTTTCCTGATAGTCTTTCGAGAATCGCTCGTTTCTGTGCATCTGAAAAACGGTGTATTAATTATTTAATCAGTTTATCAACGGCAACAGCCACCGAGATCGTAATTTCAAGGCAACTCACCTTTATCCTACCAGTATTTAATAAATATTGCGCCATGCTTTTGATCATTACTTCGAAAAAGAAGCTTGAATGATGCATGAATTTGTTCACCACCAAAAAATCAGTGTTGCTCGGTTGCAACAAAGTTGGCAAGTGCCGAGCCAGTTGTTCGTGAACCGTGACGTTGCCATTTCGCAAAGGAGGCAAGACGAACACGAACTACAAGTAGAATAAGACATCAGAATATGACGACAAATTCAAAAATTTTAAATTATTTAAAAGATTCAGCAAAATTAAATAATTTATATTTCGAGGAGAAATTTTACCTTGATGTACGCTTGTAAAACTTCCTTACGCCCGGCTTCGTGCACCATGTTTATGAAATGTATTAACACCCTGATCACATACAGTCCGACTTCTTCGCTGGTGTTACACGTCAACAATGCAAACAGCTGATTCAGTATAGTAGGCAGAAACGTGATAACGGTGACTAGTTGAACTGCGTGTGCCGCCTTCAGGATTTTGCAAGTTTCGGAATCCGAAGGCGTCGTTGAAGGTTTCGTGTCCAAGATGCGTTCGGCGTGAACGAACAGATTGTGTAGATGCAGATCTCGCGTGAATACCGTTGAGATCAATTGGAAAGATACCGTGAAAATCGGCCGTTGAGAATCGATCCAGGTGATATCCGGTCCTGCGTTCTGTGTGTCAATCACATTATTTTAATGATATTATTAAATCACCATCTAAATTTAATCCAACTATTCTAAATCACTCTATTCTTAATGAAATATTATTTTATGAATATCATGCTTTACTTTTTTTAACATAGCGAATATTAAAAAAAAAAGTGGAAAAGTAAGCCAAGAAGAAAAATAATAAGTTTGATGAAAAATACAAAGCAAAACTACTGTACTTCAGAATTTAACTGTACACGTAGCAGTTTCCAGATAAAAATTTTATTTTTCTCGATTTGAGAGTAAAAAATATTGTTAATAATATCGATCTTACTCTTACCCCTTTTCCCAGCCCGAGGGGTTGTATGGAAAGATATCCTGATGGCAAATGCGTCGCTACGGGCAATATCTGGATACTCGACTCGATATCCACATTCAGTCTGCATAAAAAATATATAAAATGTTTATTTCGTATACAGATATTTTTACATATAGAATAATAAAAATGTTTATCTTTTATTTTTTATTATAAATTATGATGAAGCGCAGCAAAATATATTAACGATTATCTGATCTATCACTAATGTAACTTAAACATTTTATCTACCTTCCTTTATGCAGCAAAGGTGCCCAGGCGTAGCCGACGCAATTTTCAACGCCATTTTCCTTCTTTTTGTTCATGTCACAACTTATGTGATAAAAGGAGAAGAGTATATGATGTTTTACGTGCAGCTTTGTAGGCAGCTTCATCTTAATCTCTTCGTACCAAGAAGGCACTGCGTTGTGATGCAAGATTGCGCACGATGCGCGTAGGCATAATAATGGTGAACCCGGTCTGCCATATATCGCCTAGTAACAGTAAACAGATAATAAAGTCTTGAATTATCTTGAGCGACTTTGCGGGAAAAGTTTTTGTTATGTACTCGTAAAGGCTTGACGTTTTCGTCGTCGTCGTCGCGAAGCTCCACGATGCACGCTATATTCCTAGCACGGGTGAATATTTTCTGAGAGTCGAAGCAGAGCGCCTGCGGATACACGTAGAGATGATTGACATATGTCGTGTACGGATGCACATCTCTCTCGGAAGTGCCCTCGAATTCGGCGACTTCGACCGTCGGCTCCGCCGTTGGTGGTATCGGAAATGGTTTCAGCGGTGTTAGACTGGTCGACAACGTATCTAGAAATCGTATTTTATGTATCGTACACCTGGAATCGTTCAGAACTATTCACTACAATTTCTCTTTCCATACTAATGAGAGTTATGAGCGACCTTATCGTCAGGATTGTTAACCATTATTTGGAAAAGTTACAAAAATTGTTTCACCTTTGTATATTATTATCGCAATCATTATTGTTTCTTCCAATCTTTTAACTTTTAAATTTTTAATTCTTAAATTTCCAAAATTTACGGATTTTTCCTCCTATTTTAGAAATATCAATTGTGCATAAATAAAAAAGATTTTCATAAAAACATTTTTCGATTACGTACTCTCAGGAATATCTGTGATGGGTTCTATTTTAATCTTCAGCCAGCCAGGTATCACAGTCAATTTACTAAGCTTTTCAGGCCTGCGAACGAAATTTCAATAATAATGTTTAATGTTATACGCGCGTTAAAAGCTCGATATCACATAAGTATTAGATTTTAAATCTATTTTAGATAAAGTTATTGATTTCCATTCCAAGAACTCACAGTTTTTTAAATCAGATATACAAAAATTTGTTTCCAGATAAAAAATATATTAAAATCAATAGTAACAATTTTGATTAAATAAAAATTTATTAAATAGAAATTGATTAGATAAAAATTAGTTAAAAATTCTGTAATTCTATTTTTCATGTTATTTGATAAAAACTTTTGCATCAATGCAATACTTTAAATCATTAATTAATTATTAGCACATACTTTCTATATTCCGAAAGGAGTTTTAATAATTCCTCGTCCTTTATTTTATTCCCGTCTTGCCTATATATAGCTGGGAAATCGGAGGATGTATCCAGGTCGTTGCTATACAATCTAAACAGTGGCCTTGCAGCCCACGCAAAAGGCATTCTATAGTTTCCCAACCTGGAAAAAGACAATCACAAAATTTTCTACATAATCACCTGTTTTATTGTTGTGAGCTTAATAAAAACATAAACTTCATATTCAATATTAAAAGTGTGACATATTGATTTTATAATAATAAAAAATCAACTGAAAAAAGCTATAAAAACCAAAACGCGGGGGCATTTTTGGGATCCTTCGATATTAAATCATCAGTTCAATGCTAAAATATAAAAATTATTTGAACTTACAATCTTACCTTTGGCAACACGCTCGGACTTGTTTGTGCACTTTCAAGCCTAATCTTGGATCTTTGGTGGCTTTCAAATATGGCTCTGAAGTCTGGTATATGTTTCCTTGGAGCAATTTGTCTATCCTCACAACAAGGAATATGTCCGGATGAGGATTACTGATGTTGAATATTGCCTGCAAAAGTAATTTGTGTTCTTAATTCGGTTTAATCTTTGGACTTTTATAAATTCTTATTTCTTTTATGAAATCTCATTTTTTTTTCTTCTTTTACATTATCGACGATCGGCTGATTAAATTGTCACACCTGTTTTGGACACTTGATCCAATCTGAAGGAACGTTTTTCAATTCTCCGGGAAGAGTAGTACTCTCAGTCTCTGTCGTGATTCCCACGGGGCTCAGTTCCTTCGCCATATCTCGCACTATTTCATGATTAACGTCGAAGTAAAAATTCTCTGTGAGCTTTCTGCCATTTCTCGCGTCGAAAAGACTCAATGTCGTGTGATAAGGCTCCACTTGGCAGAGAGTTTCTTTTTCGTCGATAGGTGCTTGCAAGCGAAACTTCAGACTCTCGCACTTGATAAAAATTCTATGACCAAACTGTTCTTTATAGGGATCCACATTGTGATCTACAGATTGTCCTGCGTGCGCCTTAATATGAGGTATGTGAGGATACACACTGAATAGTCTCTTTCTGTTCTCTCTCCTTGCTAGAGCGATGCTAGTGTCAGTCTCTCTGGAATATTTTATCAGTTGTGGATTCATACTCTGTTCAAGGCCTTTCAGCGTGCCATAAACCTGGAATGAAAGCCATCCTTTTGGTAGAGATGTCAAAATTTCAAACGCTAATAATTTATAATAGCTTAATAACAATGATCACCTGCATGGGTTGCGGCGAAGGTGGAGGTGTATTGCAAGTTCTCTCTAAGGAAGCGGCACGTTTTTCTTCCTGTTGTTTATAATGTTGTAACACAGAACTGAGTTTTAACAACCAATCCTGCATGTCGGCCTCATTGTCAGCGGCCAAAGTGTAAGATTTATGGGTGTCACTCATTCGTAATTCGAAGCAATACCTTCCACGCTTTGGATTTCTGACGACTTCCGTGCAAAAGTCCATCACTATTGTCAATTTTGCCTCGCCTTTCCTTTCGTCTTTGAAAAATTCCAATATATAAGTGCCGTCAACTTCCTGCCTGAGATGGCAAAAGCGTCTCTTGAATGATTTCGAGCCAATATGAGCAAACATCCTGTCTGTACTACCGATCTCAGGACCTTTCATCAAATAACCTTCCTTTGTTATACCATCGTTCTTCGTTAAATCCTGGAAAATATGTACGTTTGACGTATTTAGTTTTAAATATGATAAAAATATAGCTTGCAAGATAATACATATTAAACTATTCGAAAAGTTTGTAACAATTTTTACAGAAAACTCAAAGACAATATTTATATCTTAAAATTAAATATTAATTAAACATATATAATGCAAATTATATTATAATATTTTAGAATGAAACAAATATTACCTCATCCACTTGATCTACTTCGGTGTCGATCTCATATACTTCATCTTTCAGATCGTCTGCCTTCGATATTCTGAAAATTTATCAAATAAGAGCCTCCACAAAATAATGGAATAATTTTTATAGAAAAATGTATATACCTTGGCAGCTCAAGATAAGTTCCGCTATATGCCGCATATTTGTAATGCACAAGATTCCAATTGGATGTGTAACTACGTAAGCATTCTTTTGTTAAAAGATTCTCCGCTTCTTCCTCACAGTTTGTAATACATTGTATTGTTGGCACCAAAGTACGATATCTTCTTGGCAAAACCACTTGCTGCCGAAAATGATATATTTAATGATATAAATATGATAGCACACAATTTACTAGCTAGAGAAAATCTACTATCCAGAAAATAATGTTTTAATTTCATTCTTATTTAGAAAATTAAATAAAAAGATAATTATATATCTTGCATTCCTTTGATACTTTTATCTTATATTCTATTGTTATTTCAGCCTTGACGGCTTATCTATAAATGGAACGGATGTCGACATTATACTGAAATGATAAGCAATACGATAACTCACAGAAACGTCATCCTGAGGGTACAACAATAGTTCTCGCTGGGGATCGTTTTGCATAAGCGTCTTATTCTTTAGGACGAAATTTTCAAAGTCAATGGGTTCAACTAAGTGTGGTTTATTCTGCAAAAGATATGAGTCTTAAATGATAAATATAATTACCAAGCGTATAGAATTTTTTATTTTATTCTAAAATTTTAGCTTATACTTTATCAAATGTGATGAAATTCTTTTTCCTACGTAATGTAACATAAAAATTGGAAACATGAGAGACCTTTAATATGCTTGTTTACAATTTACACTCATTAATGATAGAATGCTCTTAGTGCTCCTCAAACTTTCGCTAATTAATAATACGATAATCATAACTTTTGGAGCAGTGAGAGATAGTTTCACAGTGACGAGTTGACAGTGATCGTACCTGCACGGTACTCTCGCGGACGACCTGCGACACGGTCTCCCGTAGCTGCGCCGCCATACCGGGTTTCCCCAGACCGCGCGTAAACTTTCTTTCGCTCATCCTCGTCGATGCTGATCGATACCGATCGATCCCGGGTCAAATCGGCGTCCCGCCGCATTGGTCACCGTATCCGGCTCCACCGGGAAATAATCAAACACATCACGCTTATCGAACGATTCTTGTCACAGACGGATAAGATCACGGCCAACTCCCGTCAGCCATCACCATCACTAATCGCGTCCCATTCAGCAATCCCAGGCGAAGAGACTTTTCCCACCACTCGGTTATCTTTACACGCGCAGCAGGTCACGTGATCGCCTTGAACAGGTTCATGCTCAGATGCAACGCAAAGTGTTTCTCGCTACATCGTGCAGGTTTAATAAATTTTTATTTTTAAATGACCCGTGAGATGTTATAATATGTCTGAAAATTGATACTACATCTCGCGGCCAATTATACATTAAATATAAACATTATTTTCTAGCAAAATCTCTATAATTTTAAAAGAAGCTTTGCGATTCTCTAATGATTGAACTATTATTTTCACTATTTATGTTAATAGCGTGCAAAATTTATTAAATGCTATATTATGCACGTATATCGATATTAAGTATAAAATAATAGGCTTATTAGTTTTGTAGAAACTTGAACGAATAAATTCACTGACATTTTCTCTTCCCTTTCCGAGTGAGGGGTCTAGTGATACCATTTAGTCTGGTAAAATGTAAACGTTACTGAAAACTAAAACGTCTGCTGAGACTTACACCAGTGCGCATGTACAGATTTGTTTTTACTTCTGAAAACATTATGAATTACTGTGTTGCTCAGACGATGAACTCTTAACAGAAAATTTTAATCGAGAACTTCAATTTTGCTAAAAAAATTTGGAAATTAATAAGTTTTCAGTTTGAAGATTTATATTTGTTCATATTATTTTATTTTGCAGTCATTAATGAATTATAAAATACCAACATATCGTTTATACATTACTAATGCTAAAATTATAATCTAAATGAGGAAACTCTGCTCTTTCTCACCGCAGGAAACAACGCCACAATTTATTCAATTATTATAAACTTCATAGAAATATTAATAAGATTAAAAATCCTTAACAAGCTTGATAATATGTTAAATATCTTTCCAGGAAAATTTCAATAAGCGAAAGTCTAGTAATAAGTAAGTCTTTTGTCATTCATAAATGATCATAAACGATCGTATTCGGCATATAAATTATATTTTATTGATAATTGTATCGATAACCACATCGATAGGTATCACGGAGCGTTTCGTGAAGCACGTGTACGAGGTTTTCGGTGTTGCCGCCGTTATCCCCTCCACTGGCTCGCGTCCAGTGCTTGCGTTTCATTTCTAGCATCATATGTTGTGTTGTTGTAGCCGCGTTAGATTGCTCCATATTGCTTAGTCCGTGTTGGATTGTGTCAAAATCGCAATTTATTAGAGTATATAGTGCAAAAATATGACAACAGCAGCAAGACCGACTTTTGAGCCTGCCAGAGGTGGACAAGGACGAGGCGAGAAAGATTTGAGTGCAATTTCGAAACAATACAGCAGTAGAGATTTGCCATCACATACGAAGCTCAAGTACAGGTAAAGTCACAAATTTACCATAAATCTGGATATTGCTATTGATTCTTTATAATTCATAACAATTGCATAATGTTAAATTACGTATTAATGCATGAGAAAACAGAATCCATGCTATATAGTGCACTGAAATATTCTTGTTAATAGTTTTGAGGTTATGTTGGCAAGGATTATGTTATTATCTAAATTTTGCTTATTATATATTTATAAATGTACATAAATCAAGCGTGATTTATTTTATTATTTTATTAAAAACATTTTATAATAATTGTAATATTGCTTTTTTTTGCAGAGAGCATGGCCAAGGAACAGTCGAAGAGTTGCGAAATCGTGACTTTAGAAAGGAATTGGAGGAAAGAGAACGGGTGGAAAAGGATAAAGGATCAGGTCGTCGTGCTATTGAACCTTCCAGAGAATCGGCTACATCCAGTGCAAAAAGACAGAAACTAGATCAAGTTCCAGCAGCCAGCTTAGATGCAGATGATCCACTTGATGAAGATGAATCAGATTCTGAAAGTGATGAAGATGACACCGCTGCTCTCTTAGCTGAGCTTGACAAAATTAAGAAGGAACGAGCGGCAGAACAAGCCAAAAAGGTAAATGCTAAATTTGTATTTTCACCATTTCACATTATGCAAAAGAAATTGACTCTAGTCGACAGAACCATGTTATTATCTCACCCAAGGTTTTGACAAAAAGATTTGGAATTTATGATAAACATCATTTTAAAAAATGATTATCTCTTCTCTACAAAGCAATGCTGAACTGTTCTCGAAATCATATCTCTTGTTCTCACTTTGTTACCAAGTTTTTAGTACACTAATATTTTAACCTTCCTCTCTACATCAAACCAATTCCACCCTCTTCTTGTTCCTCAACCACGAAACAACAACAAATATACGATAGATATAAGATAATCAGAACATTGATTTGAAAGTAACGTTACGTGAAAATTCATACTACAGTTTGTTGAAAAAAGTAATAATTGACGAATGAACAACGTTGAATTTTTTGTGATCGATTTAAAAGCAAATTTTATTTATTGTAATATTTTTCATATTGTGATCATAAAACAACACTGAAAGAATATTTTCCATCTCTCCTCTTCCTGACACTTCTCCATATCCTGCAATAAGAGCAATTTAAAATATGCATTCATAATTTCGTTTTTAGAATATAATTGTTAAAGAGTATCATTTAAAATATGAACAGAGAAAAATTTCAAATTTAGATAAATAAGATTACACATATCGAAGACAATCACATCAGTGACTGAAACGTTTTATCAGCACATGAAAATACAAACAGATTTGCACGACACCTGGCACTGACAGTCCATTTAAAAAAAATATAATTATATAATATATATAAATACGATAAATATTATAACGCTGGCAATTGCAACACTTTACTTGCTTTAGTTCTTTGAGTCTAAGGAAAGAAACATCGCGGACATTGTTTTAAATTTTACAGAATATGGAGAAGCGCCAGGAAGAGGAGAGAATACGCATGGAAAACATTCTTTCAGGGAATCCTTTGTTGAACTATTCCTCGCAAAGTGGAAGAGTGGATATGAAAGTACGGAGACGATGGGACGACGATGTCGTCTTTAAAAATTGTGCGCGTTCCGAACCGAAGAAGAAACATGATGTTTTTATCAATGACTCTCTACGAAGCGAATTCCATCGCAAATTTATGGAAAAATACGTAAAATAATTTACCAACTAAGTATTACTGCTGTAAATAATTTTTTAATGCATATTATTAAATAAGTAAAAGTACTATTAAAAGTATTATTAAATAAAAGTACAGTTTTCGCTGTTCGCATCATAATTCAAGACTGATTCAAGAGTAGATAGTTTTCTGAAAAATTAATCTTAGAATTTGATTCTTAAAGCAGTATCCCGAAAAGTTAGACAGGCCTACAAAGTGCAAAGTCTAGCAAAATACTCTATTATTCACATTATTATTTGTACTTTGTTATAAATCCGTTCCACTTCATCACATCAAATCTCTCGAACTATAGCAGATTATAAGGTCATAGATTATTCGTTCCACGCCTAAAAAAGACTTTGGACTAGGACTTTCGCTTCCGCAGATCTCTTTGGTTCCGTAACTGTTGAAACTGTCTGCAGCACATATGGTTGAGTAATAAACAGTATCCTTGGTGGCTCATCTGCATAAAAGCCATCTCTCCTCCCGCGGGGAGTCTTATGTCCCCGGTCTTGAATTCCTGCCAATCCACTCCTCCTTTCTCCGCGCTACTTCGACACCCCGTTCCTGCGATCCGTATCTGTGATCCGTACGCGTTCGTGCTGCGCGTTGTATGTGTTTCGGTAGCGGACGCCCGATCCGGTCTCGTACAGCGCGCAGCGAATCGCGCGCTGGGTCAAGTATAACCGGTCCCAGGAGCCCTACGGGGCCCGCGTGTAGGCAGCAGGCAGTCTACCGGTGCAGCTGGTTATCGCTGGTAGACTTCTTGGCACCGACGTGGCCAGCCAACTTAAAGCACCCAGTCGTCCCACATAGAGATGACGGAAACCGTGATACGGAGACGTAGTTCAAATTAACGCGAGATCGAAGAATCTCGATTTGCTTCAACTATAAATTTTTCATTCTGAAGATTTTGGAAATTGAATTTAAGTTATAATCAATCAAAAATTACATTTTAATTATCAGAAGTAATCGGAAATTTTTTAGTTAAATTATCAGCAATTTTCAAGTTCTTTCAATTTTTCCGATCAACCATTAGAAAATTTAAATTCTTTTTCCGAATAGAGATATTTTAAATTGGATTTCTATATTTAGCGATGAGCATAGAGCATCGCTAGAGCATATATGTATTTTATTAGAGAAATCTAGAATATTCAAAAATGCAAATTTAAGAACTTTTGAAACTACAGAAATTAGTGGAGATTTTTTTTATCAGATGCAATTTCGCAAAAGGCTAAGAATGCAAAACCATAAAAATTTCATAATTGTTTTAGTAGATATTTATTCTAAGTGTTTCTGTAAAATCTAGTACAATTCTTTAATCAATTCAAAAGTTATTTATTTAATTTTTACATTTTTTTCCCTTAAACTATATGTTAAAGCATTTATTTGAAGAATCTAATAAAGAAGAAATAATCAAATTAAAAAGGTTCGTGCTGGTCACATTCTTTCTCTATAGCTACATTTTTTATTTATATCTACATATATCTTATTTATCTGCTTTTTACATACTTAAGTAATCAACACGAAACAGCCGTTTTTTGAACGGGAAAGATTAAATAACTGTTTTAGATAAGAAAGATTAAATAACTGTCAGTTACAGAAAGATAAAATATAAATATTTCTATACTTAGTTTGCTACAAAATAATATGTATATTTTTACAGCAACATTTGATTAAACAAGATTCATACAAGATTGAGAGCTAAAAACTGCAAAATGGAAAATTACAAATAATTACACAATTTAGCTTGTCAAAGATAATTTTATTGATTTGGAAAATTAATTATTATATTAATTTCTCCGCAACTATAATATTATAATGAAATAGAATTGCATTTTGTATCACAACGAAGAAAGTTTTTGACATATTTTAATCAATATTTAATTCATAAAAATCTTGAGGTTTGTAAAACGGTGCAAAACTCTAAAAATAATATAAATATATCAAATTTATTTTTAAGAAGTAATATTATTTAATCAGTTTGAATCGAAAAATAAATGCGAGAGATCTAGTAAAAATCTCTAGATGTTTCTTGAACGCGAGTTGTGACGGTTGTTTTTACTCACCTCGCTTATCGTCTTTATTTAATATTTACAACTTAGATTCGCTTTCACCACATCAGTGATTAATTACATAGCCGCACTGTATTCCTTTCAAAGACATTTTATAAAATATTCTGGCTATACATATATGAATACTATACAATTTATTGGATTATAAAAATTGCTTCTATCTCTAAATACATCGATGATAATTAGCAGTATCAAGATACTGATAATTACAGTATAGACAACTAAAATATTAATAATAATGAGTGTCACCGATTCAATAGTAACTGAGAAATGCAGAATAATAGATGTAACATTTTCGAAGACACTCCATGAAATAAGTGTTTCATAGGCAAATTTTCCTTTGATTATTCGATGTCTCAAGATTGATTGTCTTTACATATCTTATTAATGTATCTTTTCATTGAATAACAATGTGATTAAAACTGTTGATATTAAGTTACCTATATAGAAGAATCTTTTACAACTTTGCAAACCGCCATCGCGTCCTCTAGTCCTGATTCACGACACCACCTTGTTAAAGAGTCGAGTTATCGGCGACCAGTCCTGGTTGCCAATATTAACCGCCTACTCCTTTGTCAGAGGCGGTCCCACCTCTATGATCCAGGAACGTGCAAATAATGAGACAAAAATTTGCTTTTTTACTACGCTCAGCAATTAAAATAGCTCTGTACATCTGGCATAATTTCAACGCAATTCATAAAAAAAATATTAAATATTTTAACACTATATATAAAAAAATATTTTCTTAAAAATTTCTTGTCTTATTTGATGATTTAATAGATTATTTCAAATAACACAATAAAATGTCGGTCATTATTTCAATGTTTTAACTACAATTTACAGTCGAAGAAAAAAAACATATGATCTTTAGATAACATAAAATTAAATTCATAATAAAAAAAACTAGCAATTTTTTATGCTACAAGATATAATTTGTATGCGTTTTGTATTTTTCATTCTATACTAAAAATGCCACGTACCTTTGAAATAATTGAAGCTATAACTCGGGATACGAATTGTCATAATATATTGAGTGAAGAATAAAGTCACAGATTTGCGCGTTATAGATAAAAACAAATAACAGGTAGACGAAATTAGAAAGAGGAAAGGTCGATGATTGGCAGTCGAGTCCCGAGAGTGGGACCAGGCAAGCCTCAATACAGGCCTGGGAGGCGGTGAGCTTGCTAGAGAGACGACTCGGGACGACGACTGGCATGGACCAGACAAACAGACTGGCACTGGCATCGCGAGAGTCGCCAGGAGTCACCCACGGTGACCCATGATCATTCACAGTCCATCGACGGCGAGCGTTCGCGTTGGTTCCCTAGCGCAACTCGTTGACAGACCGCTCGGTCGCACCTCGCAAGATTCTTCCGAGTGATTCCGTAGCCGTACTTCCGACATCGGGGAACACGATTGTTTTGCTTTATCGATTAATAATCACCGCTCGCCAATTCTGCGATATCGCAGGTGCAGGAGAAGTGTTGGAGTGCGTCGGAGTGTCAAAGTGGTGTAATTGCAAAAGTGGCGCGTCGACGGGATATCCAACAAGGAGCTGAAGTGTACAGGGACAGTTTTGCGAAATAATTTCGATCAGAGTGAAAATTTCAATTAACAGTCATTGCAATTTTATTTTTTTCGAAAAATTTAATGAAATGACACAGCGACGCGAGAAGATTGCGTTGCGCTTCTATTGTGGATAAATAAAGATGTGCGAAACAATTAGAAGAACGTTAAACAGCAAAGAGTAGTCAATAAAATTGAGTAAAATTGATGATTTGTGATTAAAGTAAGAAACACTTTCGGAAAAGCGTTAAGGTGCTGTACGAACGGCAAAAACGCGCAGCGCGTCAACAAGAAGAAAGACGCGATGCACTGCAAATTTTCGAATCCCTCGACCGAAATCGCCCGATCCCGACGCATTAGACCGTTGTCCCTTCCGAGATTTTCATGGTACCTACGGACAAAACTGCGGAACGAATCGCAACACGAGGTCACCAAGCCGCTGAGGACACCCGAGGACGAAGAGCGCTGATCGTAGTTGCGCGCGCGCGCGCACGCGATGCTTATTCCTTACAGCGAAACCGCAACACGCGCAATCGCCGTGCCGGCCGTCGTCGATCCAGATCACCGTTCACCAGAATCCACATCGATCGAGATCCACCGTTATTCAAGAATCTCGACTTGTCTCGACTGTGATCTGTTAATCGGATCGTTAAGTTCCTAGATTTTAGACTGCGAGATTCTTGGACGCCCAGCCGTTGAACTCGAGCGCTTTAAATTCGGTGATCTTGCAATCGTTTGCTCCAGTCACTCGGTGATATTTTGAAAGTTTTAGAACTCGTACGCTGTCGTTAAAAATTATAGACATACGCATCTTAATGCGAGAAAATAATTGTAAGATTGTGAAAAAAGGGAAAGGCGTAGAGTTTCTCTTCTGTTGCAAATAAATGAGTGGGAGAAAGTGAAGTGAAGAGAGGAAGAAAAAAAAATTACAAGACAAATTTACAAGAGGAAACGGAGAGAAGTCAAAGAAGTCGATGATTAGAACGAGATAGCTCGTAAAAAGAAAAGGAGAAAGACTGATAAGACAGCGAATAAACAAAAAGGAAAAGCGATTAAGAAACGTTGGCTTTCCTCCGATATCGTGTTCAAATGGTCGCGTTCAAAATGACTCTTTCCATCCTCTTGATCTTCCTGGAAATCATCGGCGAACTCACGAGTAGCGCCGAAAGATTGAGCGGACTCTATGTGGACAACGGCTTCGACCAGACAGTGGTCCACCGCGTGATCAGCCAGTATGAGAAGCGCGAGGTGGAGCACGAGATCCTGAACCTGCTGGGACTTCCGGATCGGCCGCGAAATAGCATCAACAGGCCATCGCAGGTGAAGAGGTCGGCGCCCAAGTTCCTACTGGACATTTACAAGAATGCCCTCGGCGAGAACGAGGAGGAGAAATCCGCCAAGCATCATCGCCAGACTGGCGAATTCGATCTTAGCAGGCAGGATCTAAGAGCGATCGATCAGAGCGATGCCATCATGACCTTTGCAGCACACAGTAAGTAATTTTGAAATAAATTATTCAGGAAGCTTGTTGGAAAGTAAGCATTAATCAAGTTTTTTTCTGAAAAAAAATCCGAAATTATTTTTTTTCCAGAAATCTTTGACTATAAATTGATAGATTATATAACATCGATTTGAAAAAGTCAAAGTTCACAAAGATTTGATTTTTCTACAACAGAAATTGCAAGACGCCGATAACCTTGAATAATTATAGAATAAAGATTTTTCGATAAATCTCGAAACGTGAAAGAAGATTAAATCTGATCTTTAACTAAATTCTAAGATACAAGCCAATTAGAGCAAAATTATCGCTGTTAAAGCGAATTAATTAATTTTGCTTTACTTTCGATTCGTATTTATTTCGAAATTTATTTTATTGTAGACAAACCATCGAAATATCATAGATTTTATTAGATACACATTTGTGTATCTAAAAATCTTAGATTTTCAAATTTTATTTGTTTAAAAATTTAATTAAAAAATTTGAAACATCCTTCAAGCAGAATGCGCATTTGCCTCGAATAAAGTAATACTTCCTCGCGTTCATTCACCCGCTGCTATTCGTCATTCTCATCACGAAGGCTAATGCGAAGTGATTTGTTCAGAATGTAACATAACAATTCCATGCTATTTCGAAAAAGGAGCAATCAAGTGGTACATTTTCGCTTAGAAAATATAAATTCCTAGTGCTGTACGGGTCCTTAACAAAAATGTAACAAAAGAGGTTCCAAAATTATTTTTTTTTTTTTTACATAAACGTTAGTATTGCTTTCTGAATTTTTTGTGTCAAGTAATATATTACGGAATTTTCTAGTTCTTTCGAAAGTTCGATAAGAGATTAAAGACAAGAATACTTTTCCTTCTCGCGTACGTTCCTGAAGTGTGAAATCACGAAGAAAAATGCGACGTAGCGAATTCTCAACAATCCCGGGATCGATGTGACGTTGATACACACGTATTATCCTTATTTATCTTGCGATTTTGCAGTTGAATCAAAGTACGCCTGATAAAGAATTTCAATTGTTCCTTCGTGTTTTCTTCTTACTCGTAAGCGAATTGCGAATGAGCATTATTGCGCGGAGATATTGAGATGTTAAGAAATTGATTTGAAACATCGAACGAGATATATTCCGCGCGAGGGTGAGGTAAGACAAGACGAAGGAGGAAGAGAAAACATCAGATTTCTCAGAAACTCGTTACCGCCTCCTCCCTCCTCTTTCTCTCTCTCTCTCTTTCTCTCTGCTTTGTATGTCCGGTTTTCTATTTCGCTGTTCTCTCGCCGAGAATGGTGAGGAACGTTCTAGACTGATGCAAAATATATAAATTTAGTACAACTATAAATTGCATTTTTATTACGCGTGATAAAAGTGGAGAGACAAATATAGAATAATAATAGGGACAAGGGATACAGGTGCAGGGAGACAGAAGCAGCAGAATGGAGGTTGAAAAAAACAGAGAAAGGGTTGACTGCATCAATTGTTAGATCGCGCACACTCGCCATCTCGGCCGTATATCTTATATACAAAGTCTCTCGCAGCCTCCACCGTCGTGTTCTCTACGGCAATACCCCCCTGGGAAAGACGAGTCAATAAGTATCTCTCTTTCCTCGCGCCACGGGCAGGTTAAAATGTCTCAACTTAGGGACCCGGTTTCGTTCCGCGCCTCTTTGCTCCTTTTTCCCGCTCCTTCTTGTACCGATCTTCCTCCCTCGCGCGCGGAGGACGAGCCGGCTGCCCGGAGAGAGACGCACGGCCACGGACATTATGAAGATTAGGACGCCGAATTTTGGAGACGGATAGATTCGCAGCGGAATTAAATGTAACGGAGCTGAACGGTATCGAGGTTCGTTCCCCTAACATTTATTCAGTGTAACGTTGATACTCTTGGAATTTTTTTTTTTTTTCTTGCAAAGATATCGTAAAAAAAACGAACGTTCCGAAACGTACAAGTTATTCGAATAGAGTGCGTTCGATCAATGAATCTTGGATCTAGATTTGTGTCGTTAAAAGATTATTTTTGTAGAAAGACAAGCCTTTTTTTTGGCTGCCGTCGAAAGAAATTCACGGACTCCGCGAAATTTTGAAAATCGTAATTCGCCACTTGGAGAATGAAGGAAATTCACGTAAGCTTACGGCACTCTGCTTTCACACACGTATACACACGATACGAACATGCGCGTATCTAAGGATATGGGAAAAGGGAGAGAGCGAAGCGGCAGCAGCGTAAAAAACAAAAACGCGGCTGGCCACAGAGCGTTCCAGGACGGTCCCAAAAGCTATTTGGGACCACCCCGAGAGTCGAGGAGGCCCCGGCAATCTGGTACCGTTGGAATGCGACCGTCGAAAACGAAAAACAAAACAAATTTTTATGTCCTCCCCCTCTCCCCTTAGCCGCCCTTAGCCGCGTCTCTCTACGGATCCACGCCGCCCACTTCAGCGGAGGCATTAGGCATTACTTAGAGCCCCCTCCCCCGGGTCTACCGCGAGGGAAGAGAGTACCTCTTCCCTCTGCTCCCTCACTCGCAGGGCGGCGACCGCTTTGGCGGTAAGAAAGAGGTCGATTTCACGCTGTGAATTGTCCACGGTTCATTTCCAAGGGCCTCCTCGGAGAGTTCAAGTGGATCCCTTGCTAAGGATCCCATTATCGACGATGTGGAGGGAGGGGGCTTTTTTTTACAGAAGTTTTGCCTCGCGATAACGAAACAACAGGAACATTATCTCGTTCGAAGAAAAAAAAACCTTTTCACATCTGTAAATCTGGACATTTCTGAAGAAATATCCGGATTCTGAGTCATAAGTTTCAACGCTAAATTCTGGACTAAGTAAGCATTTATACAACCATTCCTAAAGTGGTCTGCATTAGTAGAATCTCGAGAAAGATTTTATCTTCTTCAAAGTGCTGCCTGAAATGGTTAAACGCACGGAATTTGCCCTTCTTAAGATTTTGACACTTTGCAATGTTGCAACCAATTGATTTTCATTGTCATAGATAATCTCGAGTCCTCTGCATTTCACGTGATATATTATGCATTGTTTATAAAAAAAAAAAAAGAAAGAAATTCCGACGCATCCCGACGAAATAATTCCGCGACACATTTGGATTTTCTTATATAAATAATTTCTCTACTGTTTTTGTGTAACATGTAAAATTTCCTTGGTCGGGAAAGCTTGCTTTGGGATGCATTGAGATTTTTTTTTATAAACAGTGTATTTAAAAAAAATAAATTTGAGAACATTCGGATTGAGAACGAGATTGAGAACTTGAAAATGAAATGTTGATATGTGAAATATGGCTTTCGTTATGTGATCACTGTAGTTAGCGAACGTTTTGAATGGCTCACGAGCGCTGATCGCAGACTTGTAATTTAAAATAGATCATCACGTCCCTGGGGTTAGACATGAACGTGGGAAGAGGCTTTGGTTCGACGTGTCCGAAGTACCACCTCAGGAGCACATAATCGGCGCCGAGCTCAGGCTGTACCACAGCACAGACCTGAAGAATCGAAAAAATCGCGGATCCTACATGATCACGGCGTATCGAGTGTTGAAGACTGACGACGGGTAAGAAGACTCATTCATTTTTTTATTATCCTAGAATAAATGTGCGGCGGATCGAGAAATTATTCAGACTGAAAACGAGCTTTCAAGAAGCTCAAAAAAATTTGTTAAATATTTTTACGTTGCAACAATAAGACTGAAACGTAAAACGCGGTTACTCGTGATTCGCCCGCTTTAGTGCCAAGGACGCCTAGGTTGGACCAATTTCATGTTCCTTCGGGCATTCTTCGCGGTTTTTGACATCGTCATCGTACCCCTAATTAGGAAGTCCTTAATCCTTCGCCGAAAAAGTCTCAGGTATTTGTTCTACCTGCAGGAGGAATACTTTAAGTACCCGACGAGCATCCTTTTTTTTTATCTCGGAATCTCACTTTTTTGTTCTCCATCTTTCCGATTCAAAGAACGTTTCGATTTTTATTTAATCCTTGTTGCGGAAAATATGTCTATGTCAGTTAGTTTAGACAGATGTGGAAGATTTATCGAGCATGGCATTACGTAGATTGGACGTTGTGATAAATAATTCCAACAAAGACTGTGTAGCACTTATATTTACGTGGGCGTATGCTGTAATTTCGCGAATCGTTTTTCGTGCGGAAGAAAATCATGCGAATAATCACGCAGAGCGAAAAATCGTCGGACAATCGAAAATATATCGCGATTCTGTTGGAACTGGCAGTGACAGTGCCACCGGCGGGCGGTATCCTATTCCGATAGGAACTGAGTCATAAAAAGGAAAGCGTGGTTGAGTTAATTCGAGAGGGCAAACCTCTACGCCGGCGGTAAACGGCGACAGCCTGTCTAGAGGCGCTCTAATGGCCGTGCCGCTCTATCGCAAGTGAGTCACGAGGCGCTCCGTCATGCCTAAGTCTAGAGTAATAAATCTCAAAGAGTTTCTTGGGGTTTAGATTAATGGCTCTATTAGAATTGGGTGAAAAGTGAATTTTATTAAGTCGACAGTAAACTCAAGCGGTAAGTTTCGCCGAGGAGTTTGTTCAAAATCCGATTCAAAGGGACTTGTGCTCCGCTTTGATGTAGCATAATTGGAGATGCGCACCAAGTTCGGAATAATATACGCGAACGCGTCTGTTTATTTTTATATCAAATTACTTATCCGGATCCTTAAAACCCTCTCGCTCTTCCGCGACTTCGGCTGTCCGGCTACACTTAACTCGTCAGCCTTTTGATTTACTGCGTGCAACTGCGCTCGGAGTGACAGCCGACACAGCGCTCTTTCGTTCCTTGCGCTTCTCTCTATATCCCGAGACTTTCGGCGCTGCGACCTGAGCCTGACCGATATACTGGCCCCGACAGGAAACGCTATTCCGTAAATTGAGGTAAATTAGCTGTGGAGACGGGCTAACAGGCTCTCTTCGTGCTTCTCCGTCTCCTCTGCCTACGCAGTTGCGCTCGATACGCGTCTCTCTCTCTTCTTCTCATCCTTTTCGTCGGGATCTTTCGGCTCTTCCATCAAAGTCAAACTATGCGTGACGCATCCTCCACCTTCTTCATTCCCCCCCCCCCCCCCCTTCTTGCCTCTTCGTCGCGAGACAAGCTGGCGACTCGTTGCTTTCGTAATAAGAGTTCTTCGCGATGCATCATTATGAGCATGAACACGAAATTCCAATCATAAACATGGACAAATGTGGAAAGTTACTGCTGAAATTGAAACGGCGAGATCGTTTGTAAAGGAAAATTGAGGCAAACTTACCAGCATTCCAGTCTCAAGTTTTGTCGATCGGAAAGTAAGATTTTGTTTTATTATACATCATATATTTATTAAATCTTTAAAATTAAAAAAAAATTCAATACAAAAAATTATATTTCTTATTTTTCAAGATACACATTGCTCTCTTAAATTTACAAACTAACTTTATTTAATCTCCGTATCCGAATAAGGAAGACATCAGAGTTTGATCTTAAGGAAAGAAAAAAAAAAAACAAACACGCAATTCTCACAGCCAATTCAATTACGATAATCGATCCGCGGAAAAACGATAAAAGCCGGTCTGCTAGATGCAACGAAGATCATTTACTTAATGAACAATGATCGGCGTGTTTCCGCGATGAGATCTTATTGACACGAGGCACGTGCGGCTTCACGATTAATTGGAAATTACAATCCGAAGAATTACAAAGCATTCATGCCGAGATACGTCACTGTGTGTGACGACTGGTGCAACAAGATATAATGTTAGCTTTCAGCACCTATCGATTTTGATACCACAAATGTTTATCGCAAACTTATTTAAAAGTATATAATTATGTTACATATAATTACAGTAAAATCCTTATTACTGGAATACCATTCAATCGAACGTTTAGATACATTCAAGAAACGAAAATAAAAATCTACAATAGAAAACATAAGTTTAAGACAGGCTATTCTTTATTATTACTGATTACATTTAGTAAACTTATATAGATCGTTATGTTAGTAAGTGATGTGATATTTAACGCAATATGTATTACTATAAATAATTATTTTTACTAGACTAATATTATTATTATTAGAAATACAATTATCCTCTGTTTCAACTTCAGCATTCGAGAATTGCAGTACGTTGATGCCATAAATGTCACAACCAGCAAGGAGGGCTGGCTAACATTAAACGTCAGCGAGGCCCTTCATCACTGGGTGAATAATCCCGATGGAAATCGAGGATTGTATCTCTCTGTACATCCCGCTGATCGTTCGGGTAAGAGACTCATTTTTTTCTAATTTACTATTTTCACTCGAGAATTACAAAGTATTTATCCGATTTAAAGTCATAATAACGAATGTTATTTTAACCGCACGTTTCCACAAATTCGTGCTGAAGCTAATTGTATAATTAAATAATGATGATATGCTTAAATAAGGAAAGAGAGAATGTTTCTATATCGAGAATTCTAAAGAAGTGCTTATATATTTATGGATTAAACTCAAAGTCTAAGTCCTATTAGCCGTGTTTCCGTTTAAACTTCTCAACCCGACTTCTTAGCAATAGTGTGCTAAATATAGAGCGACTTCCGGCTTAATATAAACGCATACGATGTTTATCGAGATTTGGTCACGAGCACAGCATGAGAGAATTAAAATTTCAATCCTTAGCGCCTTGGAAGTATATTTTTTATAATTATTCTCAGATACACTATATGAATGATAAAATTAAGTATTCAATTCATATTTTAATCATTAAAGATGAAACGTAAAAAAATATACAATATTTAATTTAGTTTATCTAGATTAAAGAAGCGTATCCTCGCCTTGGCAATTACGTATATTCGTGTCTCCGCCGTATTACACCTGTTCAGCTGCCTTTGTCTTGGGATATACGTGACACGAAAGATTAGCAGCAACTTGATAGCGCATCTCTTGAATCTTAAATTTCTTCCTAGGTCTTCTTTCGTTTATTATTCACAAGATCGCTGACGCTTGCTCTACAGCTATCTTACATTTTATCAGAAATATTTGAGGCAGCAGTTTATCATCTGACATTTTTTTTCAATCTCTTACTGACGAGATGTGTGTGAGTGTGTAATGAAAAAAGTGTACAAAAAATGGTACAGATCTTTGGAGAGTATTTTTTCGTTTTTAATCGACATTTTGTCAAAAAATATTGTGTCTTGCAAAATTTCGCATTCTCACAGAATTTCATTAAAATCTGTACTTTTAAGTCGAGAAATGTCTCTTGTTGTGAACGCAGAATTTTTTTCTATTTTTTTTTTTAAATAATAATTGCAATGTACTTGAAATAACTAAATATTTGTATGTGTAATACTCAAAGTATCCGAGCATTTGAAGTATCCGAGTATTGACAACATTTTGTAAATGTGTATGATTTGTTGTTTGCCGCGCCTAGATTATTTCATTACTTGTCCTCTCCACGTCTCTCTGTCTCTCTTTCTCATCTGGCTTCTTTCCTCTTGCCTCGCTCTTCAGAACACGCAACCGGTTTACCTTTGATCGTTCAATATAAAACGTAAGATCAGAGAGTCACATGCCTTTCACGAATCTTTACGCGTGATTCCTGTCTCTCCCTCTCCCTCTTCCGTCGTGCGTTTCTTCTACGAGGAACCTCAAGGATATACACCGCCTACTCTATATATAAGCTAATCTAATAATAATTAAACATTTACACACTTGTTGACATTATATCAATAGCTGCTTCTTCGCGTTGTGCGAAGAACTAGTAAGAAAATCTATCGATAATTATAAGGCTTTCAACAAAATTATGCACACCGTGAATCCGTCTTGAATAAAAATTAATGAACAATATTTCAATATTTAATATTTAAACAAAATCTTAAGTTTTAAACGTAATTTTCTTTCTACGCGGGAAATTTTAATTAATAATGAAACAAAACTTTGTGTTCAAAGTGCAAAGTTCACTAAATAAATGTTTAAATTTACATTTGCAAACAAATTGGTAGCATCGTACACATGCACTTTCGAAACTATAATTAATTACATTCTACAATGTAGCAGGAGAATTAATGCATAATTTATTGCTGACTGGTTGTTGATACAACTATCTTTTTAATCGGAATGCATGTCAGCTGAATGAATAGGGAAGACGACAAAATTACTTGACACAGAACTTGAATACGCTCGATACGAGCGATCATGTCTCTCCGTCTGCTTTGAGAATTCCGCCGTGTGCGCCGATGCATTCTTTAACAGCGCAAAGTGCAACAACTGCGCCGGCAGGTGTCCGCTGCAATCACGGCAAATGCGCATTCCTGCCGGCCAATTTACTAGCTTTCTCGGACTCGCATGGAGTGCACGGTGCACCAACGGTGGCGGATACCCGTGCGAGTGCCCGTTCATTTGCATCCGATTATTTGCTCCAAAGAATCTCTTTGCATTAAAATCATGCGCATTCTCAATTTTGTCCATTTAAAATTTTTCAATTTATCGAAAAAGTTTTTTTTTTGAAAATTGTAGCTCTTTTTTTTCAAGATTTTGGATTCGCAAAGAAATAAGGTGCCGTGAAATAATTAGGACTGCCAAATAAATAGGATAATAATTTTTGAATGATAGACTTAATTTATTGTAAAATTATAGAAAAAATGATTAACCTTTTATTTAATGCGCAACCTATTTTCGATCAATGGAAATTCGAAAAATTTCTAGATGTTTGCAATTCTGGAATTATGCAGAATAATTAAAATGAGGCGATCGAAACATGTGTTGGAAGTGAACGTCTAACATAAGATAAGCCAGCTAACTTTGCGCCGCGATTCTTGATTCTTTAGTGTTCAATATTCATGAAGGCTGACTATTAATAATCCCGAGACGTAGGCCATTCTAATAAACACGCAAATCCAATACATTCTACTTACGGAGAAGATTCAAAATAACAAAAATTATCTGTTTTTGCATCATAAAATTACGTCATACGTGTATTAAGAAAATAATAACGTTTCAGTATGATGAAAGTATTGATATTTCGATCTTTTAAAATACTTTTTCTTTCCTTTTTGTATATTTTCCTCTTTTTGTTTATAACTCTTTTACACATCACTGTTTTTTCTCTTCTGCATCATTTAACAATATTCTTATTTCTAAGTATACCTTTAGTTGCGCACTTTTTGAATTAATATATTATATGCATAGTGCACGAAATGAAGCCGGAGGACGTTGGGATCGTGGGATTTCGAGGTGATCTCGATAAACAACCGTTCATGGTAGGTTTTTTCAAAAGCTCAGGTATAAGGGAATCCAAAGTGCGACAGAAACGCGACGCCAGGAGAAAGAAAAAAAGCGAATCCATCAATTGGAATTACCAGAACAATCCTTATATTGGTGAGTCTGCGTGTGAATTATATTGCAAACATAATTCAATTTATATTTATTTTGTAAAATATATAATTATAATTATAATTATAAATATATAATTTGAATTAATCTAAGCTAAAAGATAATGAGAAGAAAGAGTATATTTGTACTGACGGAAGGATATTTTTGCAGACGCAGCTGCGCCGTATCAGTATCACTCGCGAACTTGCAAGATCCAAACGCTGTACGTCAGCTTCCGTGATTTAAAGTGGCAGGTGAGCCATTAATCAGCACATCTTAAAGGCTTCTGGTTCCTCGCTGCAACCATATTGGATTATGATGTCAGAGATTGTGCAAATTTCCGCATAATCCAATATAGCTGCAACGGGGGAGAAAAAAAAAACGGAAGTTTTATATTTCTTATATTTTATATTTAGTTTGTATATTTTAATATTGATATTTTTTAAAATATTTATTCTCAATATTCGTTCCGCAGGATTGGATTATCGCGCCAGACGGATACGATGCGTATTACTGCAGCGGAGAATGTAATTTCCCGCTGAACGCTCACATGAATGCGACGAACCACGCAATAGTCCAGACACTAGTGCACTTGTTGAGTCCGGGCAAGGTGCCCAAGCCCTGTTGCGCGCCCACCAAGTTGTCGCCCATTTCCGTGCTGTATTTCCTAGACGAGAGCAATGTCATTCTCAAAAAATACAAGAATATGGTTGTCAAGAGCTGCGGTTGCCATTAAATCGTTCTTTCCGTTCAATCGGGCAATGACACTCGTCGATCGCCAGCCAATTCAGACAATAATTAACAATGAAACAAATAACGTTTCTGCATTTCTTTCCTTATTGGAGCTGGATTTTTGAATTACAAACTTTTCGGAATCTAAAATTAATAATCTAGCAAATTTTGTTATGCAAAATGTAATCTAGTTACATGAAAAACGTAATTGTAACGAAAAAAAAGATATTAAAGGAATCATGTTATCGCCTATCCTCTACATAATATATAACTATAAAAAATTAACGAATTTTACTGAACAATATTATTTTGTTATATGACGTGAAAAATGAACTTTATTATTTTCTTATAGATTCGCCTCAACCACTTGTTATTTAATCATTATGTATGTGTAATTTTATTTCGATAGCGTAAAGTATTATACATTTAAGGGTTGATGCGTAGATTAATTGAATTAGTTGGACGAACTTTTGAAAAATTAAGACAGATCAAATAGTGACTCAAGCAATAAAATCTTTAGCGTGCTTTCAAACTAATAATTCCCTATTCCCTTTTCTTCGAGATGCATTATAGAGAATACGTAATCATGAATATCATATCAGAGTTAAAATTCAGTTATATTGTATCGCTGATAGCGCGCTGTTTTGCAGTTTTCTTCATTGAACATAATTATGAATTTATAAACTTTAGATTTTAACAAATTTAACAATTTTTGCGAATAAGAAAAAAGTAACGGTTTTTTTTTTTTTTTTTTTTTTTGCAAAAAAGCTTGTTTTACAAATCGACTTAATTCGTAAAGCATCAGTACGTTCTCGACTGTATCAACAATTACCAAATAGTTATCGTATTTGTAGCGTAAACTGAGTGCATAGAGTGAGTGTGTAAACAGAGGCATAAATGATTAATAATTAAATTCTTGTTAGCATACATTAGTCACATAATACATGTATAGAAGCGAACAATATTATGCGTTTATGTTAATTCGTAAGTTTTATATCGTCATTGTAAATATAACTTTGTATATACTTTCTACTACATATTTTATGCATGAATACAAATAAATTGGAAATATTTACTGTCAGATAAAGTTTTTCCATTAATTTCGAAATATTCGATGAATAATCTTGATCGTTGTACAACGAGAACGAATAAAAACGTACAAACACAGGAATAAAATTCAAAATTAAAAAAAATTTTTTAATAAGATAAAAGTGAAAAATTTAATATATTTATCAAATCTTAAAATCTCTCTATGCACACATCTTAAAATGCATTATTACAAATAATAGTACATGTATAAATCTTAGTAATCTTTTATTACAATTATTTATATATTTTTTACAATGTTTTATATTCTTATTATATTGGTATGTCATGTTATTTTAATAGCTAACTGTGCATAATGTGCGTATAAAAATAATAAAACTTCGTTTTTATAGCTATTTTCGATCTTTCTATTTTTACAAAAGTGTAAAAAATATTTAATTTTTATTTTAAAACGCATGAGCAATAATCATACTTGCATATCTCACTAATTATGCATAATACTGTTATAACATCACATGTGTAATCTATTTTATTTCTGAAATGAATCTACATTTTATTCGCAAGAAAATATTCTTTGAGTAAAAATGTATTGAAACATACGTGTTCTATTAAGTAAAAAAAGGGTATAGAAAATCTATAGAAAAATCTATAGACAAACAAATTAATGAAAACAATCAGACTGCAATTATACATTGCATTTTTTACGTTTTTGTAATTATATAATTAATTATTATTTTCTTTTCTTTTGTCTCAGCCTCAAAATTTTACTTTTCTAAAGAAATGACATATGAGCCGCTTAGAAGCCAAACTGATTAGCTCCACTTTTTGCAATTCTTCCAATTTTATTACCAAAGGACATGGTTGATGCTTAATTTTTTATAAATGAAATAAATTGATGGAGCTGGTCAGTTTGGTTTTTGAGCGGCTCGTATCTAATTTTGTTCATATTATATTTTTACATCTACAGTTTTCAGATATTGTGACATGAATAACGATAATGTACGTTATCGGCGCAACTCTTATCACTAAAGTCATATACGCTTCGTCAAATGCTTACATAGGATATCTGTAAATCAAATCGCTAAACTTAATCGTTTCCTTATTTAAGTTCTTTGATTTTAATTACATTAATCACAACCATGGACTTAATCACAACCATGGACGTTGAGTGCTTTATCTTCTCTAAGCAGTACGAGTTGTACTCGACTCAATCCCTGTCGTAAGTTAATATATCTAAAAGTACAAAACTTGATGTCAAATATGTTTAATATTTCACATAAAAGGTCGCGCATTTTGAATCAATAATAGTCCAGATCTCGCAATTGATAAAGAGAAAATTTATAATTTCCCGAAATGTCTAGATGCGTAGAAATAATAAAAAATCTTTTTTTAACAAGACATTTTGTAGAAAAAAAACATGTAACTATAATAGAATAAAAACATTTAAAAAATGTCTTAAACTATTTAAATTTCTGATATATTGTTGGGAAAACGAAGCTAGACAAAAGCATAAAATATAACAAATATATAATAAATATGTTTGATTTATATATTTGTAATCACCTGTTGCCCTGCTGTTGCTGTATGAGCAGTCTGTCGCCTTTCCGTAAATGTGTTATAACACTTGTATGACATGTTACTCCATCAAGACTAGAAGCAACAGCGCATTCACTGAGCTTTTGTGGCGTGGATGCACCCTCAGACTTTACCAATATCGAATAGGCGTGATTTATTGCGTTTCCATCATAAAAAATCTGCAACAGGTATTTTTTATGCATGATAAATGAAAAAGAAACAGTAAACAATTAAATATTATTGCGACAGGAAAATTTACCTGTGTAAGAATCATATATAACCCATTTAAGCTCACTTCTATTGCCCTATTGTTTTCCACCAAATAGAACTTATCGAAATCAAAATCGAAGTTATAACTTTGATTGCTTTTTATCCATGGTCCAATAGATGCTAATCATCGTTTATGTAATATAAAATGCTACATAAGTTTTATCATTGATACTAAGTAAAAATATTTAAGCATAAAGACGAGTTCTTTGATAGAAGCTTTTTGATAAATTGTGATAAAAAAGTTTCAATCAATTTGATATAATTCAATGTTTTTTTAATGAATTGAATGTGCGCATCGAGGATTGCGCTTTTTGATTCTTATTTGTTTTATTAAAGTTTTTATTTCCTTGTGTAAGTTTCATACACATGCAATAAGAAGTATTAGAATAATTTATCTCATCTTTACTATTAAATACCTGAGGGTGTACTCTGTTGTTCTGGCACTTCACCGATAAACGTAGCTATCAGTGGACCTGTAAAACGGAATAATATTTCTTGAATTTCTAAAAATGTTCTTAAAATAAATAAAAAATAATTATGATAAAAGTGTGTAAAAATAAAGAATTTTTACAAATATTAAAACTTATAAGAAAAAATATACCTAATTGCGTGCGTTGATTGCACCTTTTTTTCTTCTGTCTCTGTTTTTTATTTTTTTTCTCTTCCCCGTCTTTTCTCTTTCTTTGGTTTCTCCGTAAATGTAACGCGTCACTACCGCTCATATCATCTTTCGCCGTCTTGCGATTTTGCATTTTAGCGTTCAATAATGTCGTGTTACAATTATGCCGTAAGTTTTGTTTCTTTTTGGTCAAATTGGCAATCAATTTGTTTCTAAATTTTTCCGATGATTTCGTGTTATTTAAAGTAGTGCTGATATTTTTTTGATAATTTATTGTTTGATTCGGTGCAAATGGAACAATCGCTTTATCATAATGAGGCTTTGATGTGGAGATGTCAGCATCACGTTTATACCTATTTGGCGATGAATTAGAGAATTTGTGAGTGAAAGGTTTGATTGAGTTACTATAATTGTTAGAATATGTGCGCATTGATCGCTGTTTGAAGCTATTTGAGATTGGATGTTGTGCAGATTTTGTGTAATGTGTAGACTGTAGCACAAACTGCATCTAAAAACGGAAGAAGAATAGTGCGCTAAACAGATGAATTTTTATCCTTTCTGAAAGATGGAAACATTACTCTAATAAAAATAAGTTGATTTAATGTTAATTTATGAAGAATAATATTGTTATTTGGATGCGACTGACGTTGGAAAAGCATTCAATTTCTATGAAATTAAATAAATTATTAAAGGACTGTTATAGATTATTTATTAGGATTGTTACTTTTGACATCTTCGAAGTCAACTTCAGAACTTGGAATTTAATTTTAAAATTTCCAAGTTTTAAGGCTTCGAAGACTTGTCAAACTTCGAAGTTTCGAAATTAACTAAAAAACAGAAAATCGAGCACGTAATGTTTATGATATTCATGATACATTCATACGTGCATATTTCATGCGATAAAGGAAGCGATGAATTCGCTAAGCTTAAAATATTTATTACGATACCACGCTTATTCTGAGTCATATGCATTTTTAATCGCGTTCCAATTACACAGTAAACATATTTGATGAGATCAAAAGACAAAGAGATAAAAGATTAAAATTTTTAACGCGGGAAATATGAATAGTTTTGAAAATGATCTTACCTGCATTTTTAAAACTTGTAGCTCTTCTTGTGCTATTTGCACTGCATGTTCTTGCCTGCTCAACATTGTTTCCACGACATATATCACTCCGATCAAACATATGACAATTTGTGAGACAAAGATAAGTGCTATTAAGATTTTTGAAATTGCGCTATGAAAATTTATTTGCATTTGCAAATTTGTATTGATTTTGCAATTGCAATTCTTATACAGGTTCTGCTTGTTTTCAACATCTTCTTTTGACATTTCACAATTAATTTTCTGTTCTAAATATTTCTCTTCTAAATATTTATCATCTTTTGATTCAACGCAATTTGCCTGAAATATGGAAACAGTGGGAACATTACGCTAAGTATTAAATTTTTATTTCTATTTTCCATAGCTTGCTACTAAGTTAATTGATAAAGAGATCATGTTATCAATTATGAAATTTTACCTTTAATTGATTATGAAACATATTTTCGGCATGAATTGTTACATCTGCAATTAATTATCACAGGTGGCCTTTCTAATCTCAACTTTCGGATTCGAGCGAGTTTTCTATTATACATACAGATTTCTGCAAACGTGATTTTTCATTGTTACGATATATAAAATTGATTTACATTACAGCAAAGCTAGGATTTACATCTTTCGGTCAATTTTCAAAGTAAATCCAGTCTGCTTTCTTTCTTATCACTACGTTTATCTACGAGTTTGGTACATGTGTAACAAACGCGCACGTTATTGACCTCAAATACAACACATCTGATATCTAAGGTACGCCCACAAGCAAATAATAAATATCAGCTCCAGTGAATGGAATGTAAAACAAATACTGATAATAATTTATTTGATTTAATATATTTAACGTAAATTAAAGGATAGTATATATATAGATATTTAAATACATAAACAATTAGATATTTAGATGTGTAATATTAATTGTTATATTATTATTTAATAATTAATATTTTGTTAGACATTTTTTCGCCAACTTTTACTAAATTTATGCATTACGGTATTCGGAAAAATATTGTGCCTAAAAAGAAGCCTAGAGGCTGCGTCAAAGAAAAGTCACCATTCTAATATCAATTTCTAAGAGAGGTTCAGGTCTTAGAAGTGCGCAAAAATCTAAATCTATATTTAATGACCTTGTCCTTTTTTTACCTAAAAGTTATCGGAGGAAATGGAAAGAAAAGAATGGACAGAAATATTCATATACAGTGTGACTAAATATATTTAAATAACTGCCTTATTTGCATTCAGTCTTCGGTTGATTTTTCTTGCTTTAAGCCGATAAACTTTTTCTAATTTTTTTCATAGTTTTAAATGACCATAAATTTATTTAAATTAAATTATTAAATAATTAAAATAATTAAAAATAATTAAAAATAAAGGCATTATTATATAGCTTACAGCTTGTTTCAAAGAAATGTTTCCTAAAAGCATCATGTATATTGGTTGTCAACAGGTAGCTGAAATATGTAAAAGCGTAAATGATTCTTTTTTTCAATAAAATTTGCACACTTGTGCCTAATTGAGTATTCAAAACGCATTATTTACGACATAACACTTTTTCCGCCAAATTTTACAATGTAAAAATATTTCTTAATATTTTTAAAAATTAGCAGTAGTTATACGTCGTTTATGTGTTTGTAATATATAATTTATCTTATGACACGTTTTGATAAATTTATATGTTTAAATACTTTTTATAAATCCTAAAATATTTTTCAAAGAAGAAAAAAATAAACATAAACATTTAACATTAAAACATATTTAGTTTGAAAAAAATATGTTTCGTAAAACACCTCGTAGACACCCTATATATTGGTAGGTAGGCGATTAGGATATTCAAGAGACTGTTTTTTTAAATAGAATATAAACGCTTGTGCCTGAGTGTGTTCGGAACGTGTATTGTTCGTGAGTATTGTTCACAATATAACTTTTCCCGCTGTGTTCCACCTGGACATTCTTTCTTTTCTGGATTTTTTTTTCTTTTTCTTTCGTTTTTCTTTCTTTTCTTTGTTTCTCGTAATTTTAGAAATTAAATAATACTAATTTTGCATGTTGCTTATGTGTTCGTAACGGATAATTTATTTTATAAAATATTCTGATACATTTTTTTATATGTTAAAATAATTTTTGCAAATTCTAAAATATTTTGAAACCACGTGTTTGAATTACATTTTAATATTATTAAGTATTGCAGGTTAAAATTAATTAAAGTTTAAAATAAAAATTAATTTTTGTAATCTAATTTTCAGTTTGTATGTTCTTTTGTAAACAATTATTTAATTATAAATAATTTATAATTTTGTAAATTGTCAAATTATTTAAGAAATGTATTGTTTTAACTAAAAGTACACAAGAGATATTTTTTTTAATTTATTCAAATTAAAAAAATTTTGAGGAAAACGATTTTATCATATTTAAAAATTTTTCTTTTATAAAACGAAATTCTTGAATAAGTCTAATCCGTTACTTTCAACGGAAATATCTATGTTTAAGCTTTGACGATTTAAAAAATTAAAAGTTTGACAAAATATCATGTGATTCAGCAATATTTAATAAAAATAAATTCTTAAATAATTCTTAAATAAATTTAAGAGACGTGTGTACTTACTTGAACGATGTTGTCGCCGTTCTTCACGAGTTAATGAAGTGAATCCACGCGATTCATCGACCACAGTTATTTATTCACCACACTCACGAAGCAGACCCGCCCGAATGAGACGCTACAGATCTTTTGTTTACTTCTGCGGCTTGTTGAAGCGACAGCAACGCCACACTATAGTTAGTGACGTATTTTAGACTGTTACCAGTGCTTGCTAACACATCGGCACGTATCGGCACGCGTATCGGCAAGACAATCAGACAAATTCTTTATCTATTCTCTAAAGGAAAGGTATCACTGTCCGATATGTTATTTTACTTTTAAACTTTATCTCTGTTAGATAAATGTATGAATTAAAAATTTATATTTACTTACAGAAAAATGTACAACATTCTGTTACAAAATGTTATCATAGTTTTTGTAACATTGTTCCTATCTTTTAAGCAGACAAAAACAGATATAATAATTTCTCGTTAGATAAAATAATTTTTATCTAAGATACACAAAAATTTATTTCTTAGAAAGTGGGTCCAAAAATTCATATATCTCGATTTATCGATATATGTATAGTATTTTATTTTTGAGAAATAAAATTGTTTTTTTTTTTTTTAATTTATGTAAAGGAGATTTTCAATTTCAATTTTTATCTGTTACAGGTTGCCCCGCATAGAAATTAAAGTGACATTATTTTTGTACAAATGTTTTTCTATAAATTCATTTATTTTTTAGATATTTGTTTATTGCGTCAAAATCAGTACACTTTATACAGCTTATACATAGCAAGTTCATCGCAATTTTTGCAAAATGTTATTTTATCACGATTTTGTACTTTAACGTCACAAGAGCTCACGTAAGACCTCGTTATTAATGCCACGTTAAGAAAAATTCTGTAACTGTGATACTAATTAGTCATCATGCGATGCCCTGAAAATGTATTAAATGCATGTAATTGGATATCTCATGCGTCAATCAAACGCGTAAAATGTGGAACAAAGAGATAGAGAAAGAGATAAAAAAGACTTCCGATCAACTGGTAGACCATATTTGTTTCTTTCTTTCTTTTAAAAACTTTTGTTTTTTAGAGAAATGCCCGCAATGATGGTAAGCGTAAATCAGCTGTAATTATTTGCGTTCACCCGCGCATTAGATGACTACCGGTTAGTCATGGGATTTCCAACGCGATATAAAGTTAAAGTACTTCAATTGCAGTGCATTTATCTATCTTTTGCAGATAATGTCGAGCGAATTACTATTTATTAATCAATGTTTAATCATAAAATATTATTTATACAAATATTCGATTATCCGTGAATTATTACGAGTGTAATGCTTTTAAGACATAATATTAACAAATAAATAAATGCTGCGATATATGAGATTGTAATAAAATTAACAGTAATAGAGCATTAGATTAATTCTAGAAAACGGTTATTTTATTACTTTAATTTGTCTCACGACCAAGTTTTAAGCGCAGACGGCCGTGTGTGATGTCATGTTGGAATTATTTAATTTCTCAACAGCGTGTACACTTCATGCGAATCAAACAGCTGTGCACGTTCCAGGAAAAGATCCTTCATCGGAAGGAATTTTATCGCTGGTTTACTATGATATCACTAAACATTGAGAAATACAGAGAAAGAAAGAGAAAGAGAGAGAGAGAGGAAGAAAGAAGAGAAAAAGAGAGAAAAAACAGAGGAGAATGAAGACAGAAAAGAGAGAAAAAAAGATAAAAAAATTATAACTAGTAAATTTCTTATTTTTGTTGTTACAATGTGATACAATTAATAATAATGAAATTATAATTAACAAATACTTGTTGCTCAAGTTTATTTTATTACAAATAATTAAAATATTTTTGAAACTTATTTTATTGTGCATAAAAAATGTTTCTTATATACATATAACTAAGACAATTAAAAATGTCTACCCAAGAGATAAAGAGAATTCTTTATAGATTTTTCAAGAGATTGTTCAAAGAAGATTAAACATTAAGCAACATTATTACTTCTTATTTCTAAATCAATGCATTTCTAAATCAATGCTAAATCAATGTTATTTTAAATTCTTATCATTATTTTGAAAATGTTTTCAAAATTATTTATCGGTTTAGTATTGTAACATCATGAACAAATTCTTAGGCAACTACGGGAGTGAAAAGTATGTGTAGAACAAGCATTGACTCACGTAGCATTTAAAGTACTTAAGATCTAGTTAGTGCTTTTAATTTAAATGTAAAAATGTATTAAAGAGAAGATATTTCCAAGTAGAAAATATTAGAAATAAATATAATTTACGACTTACAATTAGTTGCGTCGTGTACTTTTCACATTTGTTGCTAACTCAAAAAGCAGAGTAAATGTAATTAAAAGATTGCAGGTGTGTAAACAGCGTAAAGTTCTGCGTTTTTTTGCAATATTTATTTATAATCACAATTTTCCTATTTATTTTTTTATTTCTACCTTTTCTTAATTTTCAAATTTTAATTTGTATTATTACATTTGTAGCATATTTGGTGGTGAGTTTTTAATTAATTGTATTGAATTTTTAGAAAATTTTTTTAGAATTAATATAAATAGTAATACCGCTGTAATTATTATAATTGAATGCTTTCACGTTTAACGCATACATTTATTTAAATCTAATATTACGATACAGCATTATATTATACTGTTTAATAAGAGTGAAGGCGCTGCGATGATAAACACGGATGTGTCTCATCCTGTTCTTCAGTATGCTTACGCCGATCGTAGGCGACGGATGTGCATTGTCAGCAGTATGCATTTTCGAGCTTTGTGAGTGCTTTGAGAATTAATAATAAAACACACATATTAATCATTTTTAGATATATATTTATAAGAGATTATTTTTATTGATGTAAATTATATAATATATTCTATGTTTTCTAACAAGTAAATGTGTGTACATACATATATATATGCATATATGTGTGTGATAATTACAGAAATTTATAAAAAGTGAATTTTATAAATACAGAATTATGCATTTGTGAAACGAGAAATGCTAAATTATTTTAGTAAATGTGAATGGAAGTGTAATTAAAATTAATAAATTATAAACACAATAACATAAAAACTGTGCAAGTCTGGAAGTATATCTTGAATTATAAAGCAAAGAGAGAAATTAAGGTAAAACTTTTTGCAAAAGTATATATTTTTTAAATATTAAAAAATTTTATTTTTCGTTGAGTGTTAAATCAATTTAAAGAATAGAGTAATTAATTTGTATGTTCAATAAGTATAAATTAATAAAAGTGTCAACATTGTTGAACATAATATATAACAGAGATAGTCTGAAAATTTTATTTATAGATTGAATAATAAAATAAATTTTTGTTTTTATATTTCTTCGATAAAAATGATGCAAATACAATATAAATCGTGAAATAATTAGAAGCGATACTCGTTGAGTCACACATAAATCTACAGTGGAAAATAAAGGTCAGATTGGACCTTGTATCAAAATTGCGAGATTATTAAATTTATCTTTTACCATTATCTGTTGTTTAAATGTTTGCATTTGCAAGGTTTTATATATCTAGAAAAAAAAACTTTCTTAAATCAATATTTTTATTTATTTTTTAAAAATAAGTTGTACTCCACTTCTATCGTAGAATGAGAGTGCAGAAAAATGAAGGAGCTGGAGACAAAAGAGAGAGAAAGGCTAGAAAGAGGTCCTCTTATAGCTCTCTGTCTTTAGAGGGGAAAAAACTCGCCGGACAGGTTTTAAAGCGAAACAGGATCAGTGCGAGATAATTTAACATCCTTTTATATCATAAATCTTTAAAAATGTGCAATCAAATAGACCGTATATGTTTCGTAAACGTGATAAATTTTTCATAAATTTCTTCAATACTTTTTTCTTTCTGGTATATTTTTCACGGCAATGATAATCATCTCGGCACAGTATAATTTTCCATCTTATATTCATTAAGAGAAATATAAGAAAAATAATATTATTTAAAAAACAATTTTCTGTTCTTTTAATGCTAGGTTGTTCTTTTAAAAAAATTGTAGAATTTGTAGCTGATTGAAAACCAAAATATGCAAAATCTTCTAGTACTCGGTACGTTTATAATTAAATACAACCTTGAACTCAATTTTAAACGTTTAAAATAATTTTTGAAAAAACATTTATAGTAAAAAAACCAATATTCTATGCAGGCCATACGTGTCAGTCGGTTAAAGTTTAAGAAAAACAAAGGATTTAACACAGCGCAGCAGACCTTTTACGCGTGAAAAGAAATTTTTTTGACTTATCTCGCAAAATCAATGCAAGGTGAGTTGTACATTCAACGTATTGCTGACCACGATGTGTACGAGCGTATAAACTGTTCCGCCAAACTTACACAGGCCAAGTAATTCCGCTGAATTGTTCGATTTTTCTGCGATGACACCTGTGTTGCCAGAAGAGGAAAGCAGTGCGGTAAAAATGAAGCAACGATTGATAAGCAACGTTCCAGCGAAAGAAGAGACAAGAACCTTGCTGAATTTTTCGCGGGAGAACTTAAACATTTCGCACTCCGATCTGGAGCAAGGATTCAAGAGATCGCGACTGCGACTGAACAGAATTATGTGCGTGGCCGTTCTTATAATTTCTGTACTCTGCCTCGGCGTTACAAGTTGGTACCTGAGCTGTTCGCTGTTGAACAAGCGCGAAATCGAGCAGCTGAAGAGGAACTTTGAGAGCTTGAAGCATCAGTTGTTGCAGCGGGATCTTATGGACGAATTGAAGGCTTTCGAGGAACAAGTAAGTGCTTATTATTGGATTTTATTCGATTTCATTGCTGGATTTTATTCAATTAAAAAGGCAAATTATATTTTTTTTGTTCTGCGGTTGCAATTTTAATTTAGTAATTAGATGTATGAAACTTTCCGTCTTGAGGAAGTTTAAACTTCCTAAAGAAACAAGGTCATTGCACTCTCTTCGTATAGATCTTCATATATCTTTAATGTATACTTACTTATCTTGGACCTTTAGTGCGATCCATCCGCTTTGATAACCTTATTCTTTAGTGAGAATAAATAAAGTTAGACAAACCACTGGATTTGCATTTTGTTAGTTCAAAATATGTGTTAATTGTATGTACAAATAAAATATAAATACAGTATATCTTATAATTTCTGCTTAGTGTTAATTATAAAATTTAACAATTAAATGTTTAACTTGCTTTTTTATGCTACTGATAAAAAAATTACAGTTAAATTGTTAAAGTTTTGGAAAAATTTGTAATTAAAATTGTTGAAGCCAATAGTACATAGGTCCATTTCCGGCGGAATTTCCCATTACACAGAATATTGTTCACGCTGCTTTTAGACAATAATTACTTTAATTGTCGTTCGAAAGGAAATCAAACCACAATTGCTGATTATAAATGCCTTGCTTTATACTGAATATTTGCTATTAATAAATAATTCCTATTTAACTCGTGCGATGTAATGTTGTCTAATTAAAACTTATTGATTAGTCATTGACTATTGACTATTGATTAACTTCTACTATATATGGATTGATCTGCGTAATTTAATCACTTACAAAAAATTTTATGCATAGAAGTATATATATTTTGTGAATTTGTTCTATGAATATGCATATTACAGCTATACGCCGAAGAGTCATCCGAAGATAATGATCCAGATGAGGCAGACATTGATAATGCCGATTATGACTCCAATTACGATGACGATGGTTCAGCAACGCATGACTATTCCGGTGACTACCACCCGCCTTTGACTTATAATTCCAGTTCAGAACTAACTGAAATTACATCGCCGATGCCGATATCTACGCATTTCGATTCCAATAAAACTATCAGCGAATTATTATCGACTTTACGCAAAGTCGAAGCAAAGCGCGGAGACGAGTTTGAGAAAAACGTACGAGAAAATCACAAGTAAGGGACTAAAGATATTTTTTCTTATAAGTTAAATTGAAAGTAAAAAGAACAAAAATATAACACATTTGTAGTTTTCGATATTGTAAAAAAAATTTGGTAAATTTACATAAAATAATAAGTATAAAAATTATATTATTAACGACATATAATGTATATATTATTATAAGCCTGGCATACTAATATTGCATTTTATTTATTGTATATAGAAATAATGAACGAGAACATCTTAAGAAAGAACACAAAACACAATCAAGTCATGAGATCAGTGGTGCTAACAGCAAAAAATATAAACGTGATATCGTAGAAGATGCTGCAAGTACAAATAATATTAAGGAAAATATTAAATCGAAGAGATCTGTGAGCGATCGTACAATGGCCGACGACCTTTCGACGGATACATCTAATTATCAAAACGGTAGGCGACGTCATAAGATACCTGGATATAGGTCCAGAGCAAGTGGTGAGAGCTACAGAAATGACAATTCTAGAAGAAATTCAACACCGTAAGTATCCAGCATGTAAAATAAACAATCTTCCATCGAAAAGCTTCTTATCGCATATTAGATTATGACAAATGCGACAAAAATGAAGAAATTATGTGTATTTTTCGATGTATAATGTAAAGATTCATATATAATTTCTCGTTTTTTCGACGTGTAGTTAAAAGAAAGAAAAACACATTTTTGTGGTGTGATCTTTATAAATTACACTATATAGATTAAAGCAACTATTTTTCGAGACAGACATCCACCAAAGAAGTATCATGCCCACGCTCATCCGGAGACAGCTCTTTCAGTACATGATGATCAATTAAGCGGAGAAATTAATCAACCTGACAGGCACGACACGAGCAAAAGCACGGAGATTCTAAGCGAAAGAGTCAATTGGCGAAATGCACGTCACGACACCGCAGGAAATAGAACTGGAATACGTAGACCCATTCATGTATGAACGTTTAATATTTAATTTATAAACAAAGTTATAACGTACAAACAAATTCAAAAAAAAAAAAATTTATAGAAAAATTTAAAAGTTTATAAAAAATTCTGCGATACTCAAATGACAATGCAAAGAATTATAATCGTGAATTAGAATTTTCAAGTGGGCGGGAAAAAGTTTCGTCGAAGATTAACCTGAAGACATTTACGTGCACCACGGCAGGTTTACGCGATTCACTACGGAGCGAACAGCGCGCTTTTTTCGGCGGAGGATGAGCATACTGGCAACGGCAGAGCACGACATAACAACGGCATCTTCAAGGCCTGGCAGCCGAGCAACTGGGTGGCTGATTTAGGCATGAACAACCATTTTACACTTGCCGCCGACGGTAAACTCACTGTGCGCGAGCCGGGATTGTATCTGGTATACGCGCAGATTCATTACTTGGACCAGCACGACGAGAACGGTTTCCATATTTTGGTGAACGGCAGTCCTATTCTACAGTGTATGGTAAGGATTGAGAAGCTAAAGAAAAATATACATTTTGATACTGTACAATTGACAAAGTATTGATAACGAAATAGATTTGTTAGCTTAAATAATTATATAAAAATATAAAATAATAAATATAAGTATATAGCATGAAATAATAAATGCAAATTTTAGGTTTATAGTCCTGGTGTGGGACACAAGAGTCGCTCCTGTTTTTCAGCCCAAGTAACTCTTCTTCACGCAGACGATCATTTAGTCCTGAAAGACGTTGCATCAGCGAGATACACTCTTTTCCAACGTGACAAAAGTTTCTTTGGTTTAGTAAAACTAGGTGAATTGAAAAATCAGCAGAGACATTAATTGCAATAATCGATACATCTGTAATTTAAAATTAACAAATTACAGACAGCGCTAAAGAAAAGGTAATAAATCTTTCTTGTAGTCAGCAATGTGTATGTAATGTAATATGTAATGTAATATAATAGATACACATATATGAAAGAGCGCATTCTAATATATATTAAAGTTTAGTAGTAATTATCAATCTTAAAGTCTGGAAATTCAAAATTCTGTATAGTATATACAGAATATATATATAATCACACAAGTTATAAATGAGCAAAACGTTATTCTTTTGTAAACACTGAGGAATATAAGCATTATAGCACAAATAATTAGCATCGGCTTATTTTATTATAATTCTGATTTATTCAAGAAACTATGCATTGTTTAATTGAATTAGTAAATAATTTTCTTTATCCAGAAATGGGAAATTGTTCCAGATGCTATTCATATATATATATATATGCTTTTGTAATTTTGTTATTTTTTACAGCGTCAAAGAACCATTTAGAAAAATAGCGAAACAAATTTTCCCAAATTAAGGAAATTAAATAAACAATAAAAAATATTTTTAAATTAAAAATGCATTTTAATTGTTTTTACACCTGAGTTCTAGCATATTATAATTTTATATATTATTATTAAGTTATATAATATTATATTATATATTATCATGTATATATTATATTCACGGCAGATTTCTGTTGTATATTTATTGTTGATAACTGGTATTGCAAACCCGAGTCGAAATGAAGGTAGAAAAACACTTGTTAGTGCATTCGCAAGGTGAAATACTCCTAAAATAGTGCAGATAATATTATATTTTTTTACTTTGAACTATTCAAATAATTCGGATACATAAAATATCCTAATTTTATCTGAGTCTAATACAAATATGTATATGCGTGTCATGATAAGAGCATATGTAGTGTACATAAACATGTGCAGCATAAAAAACTGAAAAGATCCGTTTTTATCCCACTATGTCGCTACGTCAATTTTTCGCTGAGTTATGCGTTTTGAAAATTCAGCACGTGTGCCGTCTATAAATAGACTGAAGATGCGCCGCGTGAAATGCGTGGAATGCGGAGATGCTATTAATATTTGACCTAGATTGATCAATCACGTGGAAAAGGCAATGACCTGAAACAGCTGTATAGATTGCGTGGCAATCGCACCGGTCGGCCTATGTCGGAAGTTGATCGGAATCCTTCGGGAGATTATGTGCGCATGAATCGATTATCGAGATTGTCAATTTCTCATAGAAAAGTACAGTGAACAAGAGTCATGTGAAAAGAAAGGGTTTATCACGTTTGATAAGGTCAGAATCATTTATTTCGGGTAATTAATTTGAAAGATATTATCAATTAATTACGGAAACAAAACTAATCCTTTCGATACTTAACATAACAACGCGAAATAGATGCTATCGGCTCATTTTGCCAAATTTATAGGTCAAGACGGCAGTGTACATATACATTTTGTGATTGCAATTAATGTTTTTTTCAGATATGTATGCACAATGCTCTATGTGAATATTTTTTGTTCTAAATATCAATTCCTTCCTTTGTACCGAAAGTATTAATAAAATTGTTGCCAATTGTTTGTAATGCAATTGCATTTTTCTAAAAAATATTTTGTATTCTATGTATTTTTTTAAGAGATATTTATTATTGACGTATATACATATTTGTAGATATCTGTTTTTAAAAATGCATTTGATAAATGTGTGAGTATACTATATTAAGAGAAAATTCTGTGTTTAACTCTATATTTTAACTTAAGAAAGTACATTGTCACAGGAGCTCTAAACTCTAAAATTACTTTAGAAAGGCAAATCTGAGATAATTTTGAAATGATTATGAAAGCACAAATGCATCATATAATATTAAGCTAATATTTTGGTATTTATGATCAATTAATCATTGTAAATTGGTTCACAGATTTGTCACTTCAACATCCTACGATAAGCTGAAGAGATCACAAATCTACTAAATCGTTCAGTATGTAAAGGAGGATTACCTTGTTGTTCAAGAAGCTACTCACACAAAACAAGAATTCTGGTTTTAAATCATATATTTTAAGAATATTATAATATAAATTCTGACAGTGACGCAACCGTCCCGATTTTTATAGGCTTTAAATATGTTATAGAATAACTAAAAATAAGAGATACATAGTTTTTATACACATGCAATTGCATGCTTAGGGGTAGAAACAACCTCTACCAAATGGTTTGAGTCTTGTCTAAAATGGTTCGAGTCTTGGTTAAAATTTTAGCCAATACTCAAACCCCCCCACCCATTCATGCTTGCTTCTTGCGTCTCAAGTCTGGCCACATTGCATCGAGTCAGAGTCCGTTGTCTATCTACTTTAGTGCAAGCGAGTCGCGTGTCTTTGGAATGCGTCGTGTTTATATAGCATTTCGCGTGAAATACGCTTTTTGCAGGGACATGGAAGGAAAAGAAAAGTAACGCTTTCGTATTCGCGTCAAGGATCATCTAGGAAGATCGCTACCACGTTTATTTATTCGTATCTCGCACTGTTCGTCAAACAGCGAGGTTGTGTAGTGCAGCAGCATCGTCAGACGTAACCTCCCTACTGTGGCGTTTTCATCTCGCCAGTTTGTCGCGAGAGAAAAAAATAGTGAGAATTGTTCGGCCGATTAATCCCAAATCTTAGCGTGTCCTTTTTTTTTATAGTAGCTTTAGTCGAAAATGAGCGACAATAAGCAGGTAGGTGAAACTCCCAGTAGTGAGGTTGCTAACCGATTTCGAAGCTGTAGGGATCTGAGCGACATCGTGCCGTTATATCCGCCGCGTGCACTTTACCTGAAACCGCTTGCCAAAGTTAATGTGTCAGTCAGTCTGCCCCAACTGAAGACTCCAGGTAAAGCATTACGGCGTCTGTACCAGATGCCTCTTCACCAGAGGTTGGACTGATAAATTCTGCTTTTTTTTCTTTATCTTTTTTTCTCTGTTCTACAATACAATTTGGCCTTTATACAGCAAACTCATTACAATGTATTTGCATTAATCAGATAATATCAGTCAAAAGAAATTTATGTTTAACAATTAGTTTCTCATTGAAATTGTAAAAGATTACACTTTATTATTACAAAGTTCTTAATTACGTTTTATGTGTAAGCTTAATTAAATATCGCTTTTGTAATATTTTTTACGTTTTTCTGTTTATAGATTTGTTACATTTATCAGTGTTTATTTGATTAGCGATAATTAATTAGTTTAACAGATGAAAATATCTTACTGTCAATTCATTAGTTCGAAATTGATTAGTTCAACTTCAATTTATCGCACTATCATAATTGCGTACTCATGCTTGTGTATGCAAGTTGCCATCAACGGTCTCTCTACCAACAGGAGAATAACATATAGCATTCAGCTGATGGAAGATAATACCGTAATCTCAAGTGATCCGTGCGAAATCACGAGCACTTGTAACAGCTCTAGTAAAGCTAGCTTCTTACAGAACTTAACTGCGCTATGAACAGGCAAAACAATATCAACATGGGAGGTTATGGAGAAGATACGCACACTCATACTGCCGGACGAGTTTGCGTCCCTGAAAGTGGCCAAAAGCACCCTGGAATTTATCCGACTTGAGGGCGACCTGCGGGACCGGTGCAGGTTGCAAAGAGTGCTGGCCAGATTGGATATGCAGCGTCTGAATCTGGCTGGCTTTTCCAACGTCCTCAAGGTAGCGAAGATCAAATGTGAATATAATAATAAATTTCGTTTTTCAAGTGTGTATCTTAACTGAATGACTTAATGTTAAGGTTCGCGCAGCCGAGACGAAAGATGACTGCCCGACTAGACACAGCTGGGATTCTTACTTCAGGGATGCGAGGCATATGAACGAGTTGAAGGCCGGCGAAAGGCCGGACACCATCCACATTACCGGTCTGCCGGTTAAATGGTTCGCCGAGGACGGTGCGAACACACCGAATGAATCGCTTGTTACTACGATTTTTAAGAAGTGGGGCGCAATAAAGAGAGTTGATGTGCCTGCAGCGGATCTCTACAGGTCCAGGATGCGGCTTGGAAATAACATCCACAAGTTCAGCTATGAAGATGACATATTTTTCGATGTGTATGTGCAATATGTCGAATATATGGACTTTGTCAGAGCGATGGACGCTTTGCGCGGTATGAAGTTATTAAAAAAGGATGGCCAGAACTCATTAACCGCTACAATAAAGGTACATATTTAATTTTAAAAATATAATTTCTAATATAGCTCTTACAATACTTCTATTTGCTTTTTTGGCACATTTTTATCAATCCTAATATAAATTTTTTAATAGGTTTTTCTTTTCAATAGTGGTGCACATGTCTGGCTCAAATTACACTATGTTACAAGATTTTGCACTTTTGTCATGAAGGGTCGTTCTTTATTAAATCGGATGTAAGTAATTCATGACAAAAGTGCAAGAAATAAAAATTTGTAACATAGTGTTATTCGTGTCCAAATTATCCTTTTAGATGACGAGCTGCTTTGTGAATTTCTTTTGAGTTTGTGCTATGTTGTCGATTTAAATACTGGCACTGATTGGACAAAATCAGTCAGAAAGAATTTATTTCTACATCTAATAAAATATTTATGGCTAAAATGAAATAATTCTATGCAGGTCGACTTTGACAAGACCAAGCACATGAGCGATAGTTCGGTGTCGCATCGAGAATTCGAGAGGAAACGTTTGATAGCGCAAGATAATTTAGCAGCGGAAAAACTTCGGAAAAAGGAGGAAGCGGAAAAAAAGCGGCGGGAGGAACAAAAGTAAGAGCTGACACAAAAGAAAGATATTCTAAATTCTGCAGAACTGTATTTTTTTTTACCAATAAGATAAAATTGTTCAAATATTTTTACTTTGATTGTAGAAAAAAGGAAGAGGCAGATTCGGTGGCGAAAGAAACCCGACAACGAAAGCGGGAAGAAAAACGAAAACGAAAGGTTCTTACGATTTTTCGCAAGCAAGAGGAAGACAAGGTGTCACTGAAAATTGCCAGAGAAGAGCAGAAGTTAATAAAAGCTCAACGACAGTTGGAAAGCATACGATTGTTAGATGAATTGTTTGACAGAATTAAAGTAAGTAACAAAGAATACTTAAAATAAGAATTTTTTTACGGTTTCAATAAAAGAAATAAGGATGAGCATACTAATAATATATATATTATTGCAGACAAAAGTAGAAAAAAAAGAAATTAAAGTGGACCAAAACACGGATACGAAGAAAGACGAAAAGAAGAATGATCAAGCAAACGAAAATAGTAAATTAGATTCAGAAAATGATAAAAAAAATAAAAAGGAGAAGCAATTGAAGAAGAAAAAATTGAAGAAGGAGAAAAAGAAAAAGGTACTTCATATATTATATCTATATTTTTTATATTTTATGAAATTTATATTCTGTTTTTTATTCTATTAAACGTGATAATATTTAAAAATTAATGACACATTATTGCTTATAGAAAAAGCGGAAGAAAACACAGAAAAAGCGAAAAAGAAATGATAATTCCGGTTCGGATAGCACGACTGAGGAAGAATTGGATAAAGATACGAATAAAAAGAAGCTTAAAAGTGTCTTAATAAGGAATGACGGCGCGTCTTCGTCTGCAGGTAAATTTTAAAGTTTATTAAAAAAATAATAGGATTTTTTCGGTATCTTATTACAGCTTTGATTAATTTTGTAGGTGCTCTTGTTCCGACAGCTGATTTTTCTTATGCTGATGACTACTCGGACTCGATATCAAGGATATCTATGTTACCGCCAATCGCGCCCGGATCGTTTCACGCGCTTAGGATGCCTATGAGGTATCCGGGAGTGCAAATGTTCAGACCAATGGGATATTCATCGATGCATCATTATCCCAGGCGCCGGGGAGGATACATGCCCAGATGCGACATGAACTCATATGCACTGAACAATCCTTATTTGTACAACGGACAGTATTACGAGTATTTCACGCATCTGGTGAATCGAGATTTGGAACGGCGAGACTCAAGGACGGATCGCAGATCGACCGGTAGATCAGCCTCGAGAACGAAAACGAGGACGAAGTCGAGAACCAAGTCCAGGAGCATCTCCAGATCGCGTAGCAGGCGACGCAGCGGTTCGCGTTCCAAGAGTCGCGGCAGAAGATCGAAGTCGAAATCTAGATCACGTTCGCGTCACACCAGATCGCGGTCCAAAAGTCGGTCCAAGTCGCGCAGCCGCCGCAAATCGGCGAGTAGATCCGTCTCAAGAAAAAGATCGAGTTCCAAGCGCAAGAGCAGCACCAGATCGCGCAGCAGAAGACACAGCGGCTCGCGCAGCAAATCGAGATCAAAATCCAGATCTCGTCGCTCCAGATCCAGACGAAAATCGCGCTCCAAGAGTCGTTCCAAGAGTCGCTCCAGATCCAGAAGAAAATCGCGCTCCAAGAGTCGCTCCAAGAGTCGCTCCAAGAGTCGCTCCAAGAGTCGCTCCAAGTCTCGCAGCAGCCGTTACAGAAGGAGGCGCAACGGAAGATCTACTTCCGTTAAAGTCACGCGTGCAAGATCGCGAACGACGTCGCCCAAGCGGAGGTCGCCCAGCAGATCCTGGTCTATGCCAAAGTCTCCAGGTCAAAGAAGTTGCTCTTGGTCGGGAGATGCGACTAACACTAATGAGAACGTGAATAATACTATCGGACAAGAAGCGAAAACAGCGGAACTTTAGAAGGAAGCGAATTGAGATGTCTATGATTTTAAAATTTTTTAAATTAAAATAAAAATTTTTTAATTTAAGTTAAAATTTTCTAAAAAGAAAAAAGTTTTTAAGTTCTGCTAAGTTAAAGATTTGAATTAAAGTGAGTTCAGTAAATCGAAGCGAAAACTGATCTGTGGATATTCAATAGAGATTGATATATTTAAAACAGTGCAAATTTCGGAAAGTATTTCATATTAATCTAGCTTTCTATTTGTACATAACTTGTAAATAATGACATTATTATGCAGCTTTTGTGGATTTTTATTTTAGTTTAAATTAAACTTTGAAGATGAGTTTTTGTTCTATGTATTTCTTTGTATGACATTTATTTGAATATTCAGGTATAAATTTTACCGGTGATTTAGACGATTTTTTTAATATGAAAATATTTTGTATTGTAAAATAAATATAAGCTTATTAGTTAAGTATTACGGACATATAAAAATATGTAAAAAAAATACTTTGTGAAAGTTAGTAGCCAGGAAAAGTAATCCAAATTATTTATTTTCTTAAATTGCAGAATTTTTTTGAAAATACTACTTTGTACTAAGCGAAGAAAAAGAAAGGCTATGTTAACATACAGTGGTGCAAATAAAAAATAACTCATATAGATTAGAATATTTTCAACTAGCTAATTATATTTCATATTCTTATTGAGATTACAATGAAATCAATCTGAGAAAAGTGAAATAAAATAAAACATGTTTGTAAAGAAAACTTATTCAGTTCAATATATTCGACTTTGTCTTTTTTCGACTTTACCTTATTTTTTTTGTTCTACTTGTGTATTTCATAATGTTTTCTTTTTCCACTTTTGATTTAATATTTTCATCTTTATTTTCTACCGTGTCAGATATTTTACTTTATACTTGATTGAGATTAATAAGTTAATTTAATTAAATAAATATTTGATCGTAGAATACATGCAATCGTTTTATAATTTATTGTCCAAGGAACACACACAAAGTTTATAAAATAAAACTAATTACTAAGTCATTTAAAATTTATAAACAAATTAGCGGGCAACAGAATGTATATATATTTCGATTTTCTAGAAGATAAATTTATAAAAATTTTCTTGATTTCACAAGCAATCATTATAATGAACTAATTATAAATGCTTGGAGGATTAATTATAAGGAATGAGAAGATCCAAAACACATCCTTCCGACTTGCAAATTTATTTGTTCTCGGCATGAAAACGCGTTGGTTCATAAACATCGTAATACATTACATACGCGCGTTCCGTCTCTCGTTTAATAGTGATCGATCAGCTTCGTGATTACGCTAGTTTTTTTTTTTTAAAGAGTATCGACCGGGGCCCTATTTTTAACGCAAGATCGCAATTTAATCGGTCGCTTAGTGCCATGGCGTTCGTATATTTTTTTCTCCATTTAAAAATATGTGCTACGTTTCTGTCGCCACTATTATAATTAATACACGTGACGTATATACACACTTCGCAATAATCGCAATATCCCGCAACTATGGCAAACTTGTCGCAACGCTCTCCACCGCTGATATTGGAGTCTAATAATGGAAGATACTTATCATTCCCCGTCGAAACATTTCTCTCGCATACAAATTTATTGGGGTTATGCATCCCTTCTTCTTTTCCCTTCCATTTTATTATCCCCTAAGTTGATCCTATCCTCAGAATTGATTAGATATTGACTACTTTCAAGATTCGTTGCGTGGGATTTGTTCCTTTAGATTAAAGCGACGCGGACGATAGCAACTTTCCTCCTTCGTCTTAAACGTGATTATAATAACGCGTCTCACTGTTGACGCCAATAATAATTAATAGTGAGTCGACTTCACCCTTGAAATACTTTAAAAATTTTTATAACACAGATTGTCATTACAAATGTGCCACATGCATGTATAATTTACATTTAATTTACGCGCGAGAGAGACTTATATGCGAAAATGCACATAATTAGTTTTATATGTTAATAATCGAGCTTTGAAAAAGATCGCGCAATTGATAAAAGATAAAATAGTGATATTCAATCTATCAAAGTAAAGAAATGCAAATACAATAGTCAATGCAAAGTATTGAATTGATCGAACGCAGTTAGTATTTTTTTTTAATTTGCGTGATTATACAATATATATATTTTGATATAAACAAGAATTGTTTTCTGTTTAGTATTCAAAGAGTTAAGTCTCGCGAAAAGATTGGCACAAGCTCGCATGGCTAGTGATGAAAAATAAACTTTTCGCCAGGATTTCAGTAATATTCAGGATCCTGACGCAGGACGAGCGCTATCATCCGCGTGAATTTTTGTTAAAAATGAGAACCTCGATATCATTACATTGTTCAAGTTTAAGAATCACAGAAATGCCCTACTCTTTCTCCAAAATCGATATTGTTTCATCTCTCATCACAAAGTGGCATAGTTATAATTATATATTGATTTATTACATATTAATTATATATAATTAAATTATAAAGATTTAAATATTGGAAAGATTAAAAAAATTCCAAAGTTTTAAAATTAAGGATTCAAAGCTCACAAGTTCTTAAATTACACACTAAATATTCTATTCAAAACTCAAAATCAGAAGAATGCATAATTTTAATAGTTCAACAAAGAATTGAGCTCTAAATATTTATTTAAATTAACTGCAATTCGAGATTCTAAATTATAAGATACTACGATTTTGACAATAACAGATTTCGTGAATATCTTGTAAAAGAAACTGTCTTTTAAGAATCCAAAAAATTCTTGAGTTTCTTGCAGAGTTAAATTTGTAAGATTTTAAATTTTTCAAATCAAAGAACCTTATCTCTGTGATACTTGCAATCATATATATTTTTGTTTAAAAAATTCTCAATAAAGATAAAATATGCTAAATTTACAGAGAAATTTTTTTCTACGAATTTTTGAATCAATTTAAAATCGTTTTCTTTTTAACAAAATAGGTTTTAAATTACAAGCGATTGAAAATGTTTGGGATTTTCGGAAATTAAACTTTATAAGTGCGAACACAAGTACTCAAATTTCATCTCGCTTTGATCGAACTTTATTTTGAGATAAATTAAAAATTTCAAGATTACTCACAAGCATATTTAACGTAGAAAAATTTCATAAGAAAAAAATTGGTCCAAGAACTCGTAGACGAAACAGAACATATCCTGCATACGTGATACAAATGTAATTATATAATTATAACTATGAGAACAATCGTCGAACCGCATAAAGCTTACACAATTCTTGAACAACGATATAAAGTATTAACACGACACCCTTTGTGTTACTTCTTCGCGAACGCGGGCATTTAGCCTCAATGTCGAAGGGATGACACAGAAGATGCAGCGTAGAAGGAGTCTCGGAAGGATCCCCCACGTCCCTATAGGCAATCACTTTGCACATCGCCTGGGTTTCGAAGTATCGATTACAGTGCGAATTACAAACTTGATAAAGGATCCGATCGGAATCTGAGAATCGTTTTATTGCGATACATCATTTGCGTATAAGCGAACCGTGAGCAGGAATAACTCTATGTGATCGGGAAATGAATGTGCCCCGAATACATTTTAGGAAATATGTTTATGAAAATTATAACAACCGTGAAAACAATCGAAACGGTAATCGAAAAAAGGAGCGTTTAGACAAAAAATATACCGTAGAAAGGATCGATCTCAGTTATAACCATATCAATTACAGAATTGTAATCGTCCATTTTAAAGCTTCCTACAAAAATAAAATAAAAAATTTATCTATATAGACTTTTCTCTTCAGCCATTATTATTTCTTATTACCGTTTGTTAAAAATAATTAAATAAAAAAACGTTTAAAATCGTTTAGTAACAATTATAGGGGCAGCAACTTGATTTTCTCCAAGGAATTGTGAGGATTGCAATAATGATAATTTTTTTTATCCTCTGCCTTTTTTCGTCGCTCATAATTTTTCTTGCTGGCACGCAAAAATGTACTAAGCAAAGTGCTTGGGACAAAAAATAAAGGGACATTTAAAAAATCAAATCTTTTAAAAAAAAAAAGTCCTTTTCACTTTTGCTCGTAAAGTGCAAGCTCGCTCGTTTAGATGAGGAAGAAGATTTTTAACGACGCATTTTTAAGATTACATGAAAAGGGAAACCAGACGATGTATTTCCTCTAAAATCGGTAGACAGTATCTTTTATTCGCATTTTTTCCAACGTCATTATAATAAATCTCAGATATATATATCAAACTTAGTGAAACGCTCGAAGTTGTTTTTAGATCATTATTTTACTTCTACGTATATATTCTTTTAAAATTTCGATTCACTAAAGTTTCAAAAATTGAAGATTCGTGAAATATTTCTCTGGAGATTCAAGTTTCCTAAGTCCGAAATTCTACGGATGAAACATTTCCGAAATCCGAAATAATTGTAGCTTGTAGGATCTGTAATTTCAAGGATATTGGGTTTCAAAGATCCGCAGGGTTTCTCGACAGGCGTATAGTCCGCGTACGTTCATCAGGTATCGATCAGCGGGAGGTGGGAGATCGGCTTGTGAGTCGTTAATAGGAACGCGTTAACCGATCAACGTGCCGCGAAGATTCATGTTCGCCGCGATTGGCGTGCGCGTGATTTAACATAGTCGATTCATTTAGCGGAATCTAAAAAAATATCGTTAAGTCTCGTCGTAAGAAAAGTTCGTTCTCGGTGCTTCGTATAGTATCAAAACCACTTTAGCCCTACGAGTTTTCTACCGCGATGATGCACTCGCATGCCTTTAACGGTGCGCCTTCAATTCTTTCTAATGAATGTGTGTTTCAGTTTACTTAATACGTATCTTTTATACTTTACTTGATCTGTATATATTTATGTATATATATATATATATTTATATTTATATATGTATACGCAATTATGTATACTAATTTGTGCCTTGCCCTATGTCCGCCGTTGTAAACGAGACTAATTAGTAGTAACAACTTACACGATATCATAATAGCTGAGTTAGAATATATGTATATGGGTTTTGGGTATATGCATGTTATATATATATAGACCTATTGCCCTAAACCTGTAGGGAGGAAACTTTCTCTATTCGTTAATAGTAGTCCGTTTTGTTCCAAGATCGTGAATACTATTACGCAATAGTACAGCGCCGTGCGCTTGATGAAAATAAGAAATTATCCGTACGGCTGTATATCGTAAAAACAATACTAAGATCGTAGTAGAATATAACGCATTCAGCGATATTGAATATTTAATGGCAGAGATTATAATGCGGACGAACTGTAACATGCCTATGTGACGGGAATATTGAACTTTAATGGAGAGAATTACAGAGAATCACGTAATACATTCTGCACGCGTTCGAAAATGTGTGTTCACATTCGTGTAATATTTGATGAGGATGACGACGGTTCCGAGGTCTCAAGATTTCTCTCAGGCCTTACGATTCCGAAATGTCACGCTTCGATAAGCCGATAATTTCGAAGGGCGCGGAGCTTTCGAGATCTTCAGAACTCGAAACTGCAGAGAGCTAAAGACTTTGCTGAAATTAAGTGTTAAAAAAAGTTTCGAAATTAAATGAAAAATTATACTCGAGTTCTCGAAAATCCAAAATTCCATGGAGATTTCAAGGATGCAAAGTGCAAACAGGTTTGAACAGTTTCAAAAATATAAATATATTTAACAAGCCATTTCCAGAATTCTAGATTTCCATACTTAAAAATCGGCGATATCATCAGGCGATAAATTAAGCGAATAAAATGAACGACGAATGAAGTTTTCGGGATAAAGTGAAGCGATGAAGAT